ATGCCTATAAAGAACACTTGAAACAAAAAAATTCCATTAAACAAAAAAATGAGCTAGAAAAGTACCTCTAAAGGTTGTTTGTGTAGATGGAGATCAAAATTTTGATCTACTTCTGTGGTGAAAGCAAAACTCCTCACGGTTTCCAATTTTATCTAAAATAGCTAAAGATGTTCTAGCTACTCCTGTATCCATTGTTGTATCTGAGAGTGCATTTAGCACAAGGGGTAGAGTTTTAGACACTTTTAGAAGCTCTCTCAATCCAAAAATAACAAAGGAGTTAATTTGTGCCCAAAATTGGTTGAGGTCCTCTCTTCAACAATTTAAAAAATTTAGTCTAGTTGAGGAGCTAGAGAACTCATAAAAAGTTGTAACAAGTAATTGATTTTTTAATTAATTTGATCCTGGTTATTTTTTAATTAATTTATTTAATTGTTTGACTGTTTTTAATTTGCTTTGAATTTTTGGTGCTGCCCCTAATTTTGGTTCTAGAGGTGCTGCCATTGGTTCTGGAGGTATTGCTGCTGGTTTTGGGGTTGGAGTAGGGTTGTGTACTCAGTCACAGCCAATGAGAAATTATTGAAATTCTATCATTTGGTTATTTTTTTTTTATTTCATACTAATTTTTAAATCAATTTAATGTTTATTATTTGTGCCATTAATTCAGAATATATATATATATATATATATATATATATATATATATATATATATATATTATAGTTTTGAACTTTTTGGAGTGTCTTGAAGCTATTAGACACTTGGACTTCATACTTTTGGAAGTCATCAGTCATCATCATATATTTTGGTAGGGAGTATATGTTGAATTCTACTGATAGTTGAGTCCTGTAAACTATTTTTAAATGTTAGTTGAGATTGACTCATTTATAATTTCATTTACTTTAATTGTTTTATTGTTATAGTTTTGAGGTTTAGTGTTGTATCTTTGCTGGCTTCGTCATGATAAGAATTGCAAATATATTGTAAGACAACAATAATATGAATTTTTCAGTATGTCTTGCAATTACAATTTTTAGATTTGATTGTCTTAAAATTTGGTCATTGCCTCATTTTATTTTATTTTGTGTTAGAAATGCTATTTTGGAGGTGCTGCCACTGCTTTTGGAGTTTGACAGAAATCCACAACAGATTCTATTCAAGTTAGCTTTCATAAAATAAGAATTCGTTTTATCTCAAGCATATTCCTTATTTTATTTTAACTGTGATTACAATTTTGTATCTTGTGCATTTTGGTTATTATATTGTTCTCCTTTTATTTTTAGTTAATGTTATAATCAAGTTGCTGAAGTTTATGTTGGAATCATTTAATTATTAAAAAAATTCATAGGATATTCTACGTAAGTACGTTCCTCTTTATTAATTTGAAGTTTAAACTAGGTAAAATAATTGTGTATTATTTTACTATTAATGCATTGATTTTTCAGGCTACTTGGCTATTGATTATTGAAGTTGAACATATGCATCACTTTAAACATCATTGAATATGATTACTTGTGTCAATCACCATGTTGTTGTAATGGACAACAAACTTTAAACTCTTAATTATTATGATTGATGATAATATTTTTTATGTTATGGACAATAAACTAAATTATTGACTATTGATGATTGATGATGATATATTAATGTAATTTTTATTCTCTCATCATGATGATGATATTATTGATGTAATAATTAAGGTTTCAAATTTTGAATTGTGATGAATGATTAAGTTCTTTTTTTTCCTGGAGTTTGAACTATGATAAATTTCAATTTTTAAAATTTTTTTATTTTGGATTTTGAACTGAATATTGTAGAATGATGCAAGTTATTTTATATTTTCTTAACATGAGAATGATTTAATTAGGTCAACTCGAAACCTGTATGACCTGATTCTTTATTCAGTCGATAGTGGGCCTTGAAATTAATCCATCTATTTGCCTCGGTTCTAGGTTATTGGGCTCGAACCCGACCACAGCCCACCCCTATGTGCAAAGAAAAAAATACCTTAATACGATTTAGTTCTACAAGAATGCATAGCTTTGAATCTAAATAATAATAAAAAATAAAAATTAAAGTGATGATTCACAATGTGATTTTTCTTCTTTTTATCTTTAATTTTTTCTCTTTTTTTGCCAAAACATTTATTCTTTATTTTAGATCTTTTTTTAATCTCTCTCTATAAATGTTTTTGCCTCCAAAATTTTTTTTCTTTAGAAATTATTGTCTCTTCTTCTCAATCCCTCTTTTATCTATTTATATTTGTTTAGGATTTTACAAAATATTAAACATTTGAATTTTTCCTTATTCATGCTACAAACTTATCTTTGGTATTGAATTATAGCCTATAGATACATAATTTTCATTCTAGAAACATGATTTTTCAATATCTTTTATTTTTGTTTGTTAAATATCTTAATTTTTATTTTATTTTAAAAATTTAGGAACAATTTCTTTTGGAAAATAACAATTAGCATTCATAATATTAGTAAAATTAAATTCTAATTCTAGTTGAAGAATAATATTAGTAGTATTTAAAATATTTCACTTAAATTTTATCCCTAATATAAATAGAATAGGTGACACTAAACACAACATATATGTAGTTAATAAGATGTCAGCAATTTCATGCATCCTCCCTAACAATCATTGACACAAGGAAGCAACTTTACACATTAGGGGGCCAAATTATATATGATTAGACTTTTAGGGACTCAAGATAAATAATATCCTACTTTTAAGGACCAAATTGTATGTTTACTCAATAATAAAAAGAAACAAAAAAATTTATTGTTAATAGCACATACATGGGTTTCATCAAATAGTAGATTGTGTCGAAGAATGTTTAGACCCACACTGCTCTTTATTTTCCACACTTATGTCAAATGCAAATGCAATGTAAATTTCTCATTCGCGTTGACCTGTATCCATTGGTTCTAAGTGTAAAAAATCTACTTATCTTCAATGAAGTTTTGAATGCGAAACTGTTGAATAAAAAATATGTGTATAGATTTTGGATCCCTTGAACAAGTTTTCCACTTAAGCTAGTAGAGTTTCAATTTAACTTTGGGCTTTGTGAAAAAGAAAAACAAAAGGAAAAGAAAAACCCTTATTCTTGTTGATGATGCCTGGCCAGAGATAAAGCCCCTTCAATATGAACTTGTCCCTGGATCAACGGCGCCTCGGCCTCTGGACCAAAGACCAATATTTCTGAACAAGAAAACGTGTTAAAACCTCAGTTCAATTGTATAAAAAATAATTATAAATTCTTTTACAAAATTCTTTAATTATTAAATGAAAATATTATTATTTAATGCTTATTTCATAAACTAGTATAAAATTTATTAGAAAGATAAAACAAAATTCAAACCCATGAATTAAATATGGAAAACACACATTTTCACTTTCTTGGGGGTTGGGGGTGTCCAGGATGTAACGCGCTGGTTTTGACTATTCATTAATACAGTCAAACAGATGTCTTGAAATGTATGCATTTTGAATTGGATTGCTAATAAAAGATATTAACCATAGCAAAAATTGATTTATATATATATATATATTATTTCTAAATTTAAATACAATGAATATATTCCTTTTAAATATTTAAATTCAGCTTTACAAGTTGAGATTAACAAAATCTTATATTAATTGATTTTTAATGTGTATTTAAGAATATACAATACTTATAATAAATAAATAATAATATTTTAAAAGAAAATTATAATACTTAAAAGTACAATATGAATTTATATGAAAGTAATGAGGATGTATTTCTCATTTTAATTCTCCAGAGCCAAGTCGTAACAGGAGACAGAAATTTAGATGGTGATAGATATGCAGAACTCATGGCTCTCAATCTCAACCTCACCAGTCAAAGCATGCCATAAAAGTCTACCACATCATTGAGTTCACAAGGGGTGATACGGATATCATAGGCAGAAAGTTAATTCAGCCCTTATGGTCGACGAATTTAAACTAAACTACTGTTCCAGTTGAGTAGAACTATGAAATAAATCGTTTTTTTTTTAACGAGTGTCTAAAATTACACAGTAAGAACTTGTATATAGTAAATATTTATATAAATTATAAGATCTAATGCATTAAAATCACACAATAATATTAAATAATATAATTTTTAATAACATCTAACTATTTATTAATTTTTATTATGTGTTTTCGGACAAGTAAGAAAAACCAAAAGTAAATATATGCATAACCATAGTTTGAAATTGAATGATTCAGTTCAGTGTCAATGAGAATCAGCATCAATCACATGTAAAATCACAAACTGTTACTATACCATTTTCTTACACTTCAATGTCAAGATCATAGTCAATAATTGGTTACAGTTGACTATAATTACATAGGAAAGTTACTTCAAGAATGATTCTATTTTTAGTGTAGGTCCATCAATCAACAATACATTCTTTTTTCTGGCTAGCAGACAAGAAAGGCACTGCACTAGAATGATACAAATCAAAGCTCCTCTTAGGATGAAGAGTGTATTTATAACGATGTAATCTTTGTCTGCCATGGGATGGTTGCGTCATTCCTCTTTCAAGAGGAGTGCTTCAACAAACTGATGCAAGTGATATTATTAATTAATCTTTGGATAATGATGGATAGGGGAAAAACCATTAAGTATACTAACTTCCTAGGTGAGCCTTGACGTAAAGGGGAGTATATTAACATTTTTAATCAAAATTTTCACTTTTTATTTGTGATGGATACTGATTAACATGTACTATATTAGCTTCCATTTTTAATAGGAAATCATGGTGAGTGGGAGTACATTAATAAACATTTTAATAAAGCATTCTCATTTTCAATTCCTTAACTGGTGCTCTTGTCTGGCCTTTGCCTTTTTAAGTATACCAGCTTCAAGTTATTGCACTTGTTGGTATGTAAGAAGTCACGAAGTTCATGTAAGCAGAAAAAAGGACAGTGGTCAAGTATGGTTTTACAAAACTATGATATCAATCCATGGAAGTAAAAGAATGCTAAAGAATGTTATAATTTTATTAATTAATCTCTTATTTGGCAATTAAAGTATAGAATTGGGTTACAATTCAGGATCTAACCCTATGTAAACTATCATCATATAGAAGGGGTCAATACATCTTTTACAAAGCCCCTTCAACAAACAATGACCAATAATGGCTTCAACATCATGTAAACAAGCAAAAGAATCATGATCTCAAGCAGCAAAATGGCATATCAAACGCAACCTTTCAGTTAAAGAAAAGAAGTGCCTGCAAGGCCATGGTGTAGAAGATTATGAGCAATTGCATCCCTCGCCTTCATGGAGTTTATTGATCTCAAAGCAACCTCAGGCACCATCTCATCATCCATAAGATCAATCTTCAGCTCAGGGTCCATTTTCTCACCCTTCAACTCACATATGTTATGCAACACACAGCAAGCTCCAAGAACAACAGGCAAATCCTGCAGCTTCACCTCAGTCCTCTTCTGCAGGCAACACCACCTCCCTTTCAACCTGGCAAATGCATTCTTCGCAACCTTCTGAATTTCTCCAATCTTCTCATTAAAGCCATGCTGAGTCCAAGTAAGATGCTGCTGTGTATAAGGCACCAAAACCCAATCCATCAAAGGGTACCCTGAACTCCCAACAATCCACACACCTTTCAGAAGGCCCCCACTAGCCCTTTGAAAAAGAGCAGATTTTTCCAACACCTGATCATCAGGCATTGATCCAGGCCACCCAATGCACACATCAGTGAATACCCCTCTATGATCAACCACACCCTGAACCGTTATTGAATAAGAAGTCTTCTGATTCCTCTCAGTGTGCCTCTTATTAAAATAAGCTGCCACACTAATCTTAGGAGCTATAATAGGAACATGTGAGGTATACATAGACCCCACCACATTAGGAATCCCAGAAACACACTCAAACTCACCCTTAATCCTCCTCAAGGTAGCCTCATCAGGCCATTGCAAATACTTAGGCATAAGCACAGTCTTAATAGCAGTGCAAACCTCAAGCACCAACTTATGACAAGTCGATATACCCAAACCAAACCTCTTAGACACAAGCCTAAGAGGGTCACCAGTGGCCAACCTCCACAAACAAACAGCAACCCTTTGCCTAACAGGAATAGCATTCCTAAGAGTTGTATCTTCTTTCACAATTGCTGAATTCAACTCCTCACATATCATGTCAAAAGTTGACCTTCCCATTCGAAAAGCCTTCTTAAACTCTTCTTCAGGAAAATCTTCTCTGTTACATTCATCCCACCATGCCCCTGAACGATCCTTCACCCACAACCTCCGCTGTGGACCACCCACACCAGATTTCACCCCTTCAACACCACCACCTTCACCTTCTCCCTCAGATGCCGCAGCAGTAACAGCAGCAATAGCCATGCCCCGTGACTTCTTTCTCTTAACTCGTTCAAATTCTTCAACTTGGTTGTAATAATCACCCAAGTTGGAATAGTACTGAAGCATGGCCTTGGTTTTCTTCTTGTTGTTATTGTCCAAAGAGAATTTCTCTTCCTCTGAGACCTTATTGTGGTGTTCCTGATCAAGTTTCTCTTGTTCATCCAGTAACAGAATCGAAGTGAGAATACCCTTTAATTCTTCCTTCTTCTTCTTGCTCTTGTTCCTGTTGTTTGCTCCTTGTTGTTCCTGATTGTTGTTGGTTGAACCATCATCATCATCTTCATCATCATCATCATCATCGTTTTCATTTTTTCTGCGGCGCTTTCTGGTAGTTGTGGCGGTGGTGGTGTTGTTGTTGTTAGGGTCGTTCATTTGATCGAATGATGTTTGAAGCAAGGTGTAAAGGTAAGACAAGGATTCTGGGTCTGCAAAGGTTGTTGGTAGTTTCATAAAGACAATAGAGAAGAAAAGTGTTGTTGTTGATGTTGTTCTATGGCTATTGATACGGAACAGTCTCACAAATTTGTGTGTCCCCTCTTGTGAATTCTCTGTTTCCGTTGAGTTTTGATGGGAATTTTTTATTTTATAATATATATGTGAGTGTGAACGCAAGGTGTGGTGTGAACGCGGAGATTGAATTTTGAGGAAAACTATATGTAAAGAGATGCCAGGGTAATAAATAAATAAATAAATAGTTTTTGTTTTATTGCCTCGTTAATTAATTAATTCACGTTAAGAAAGCATATGATGGGGCTTTGGACCTTCCGTTTTTTAGTTCAATTTGTTTAATTCACAAATCAATCGGAGACTGACACAAGTAAGCTAAAAAATTAAACTCAAAATCATTGTTTTTCATTTATTTGGTTTTACAGGACTATATAAAGAAAAAAGCATAAACCTTTAATTTGATATGCCTGAATATTGCCATCGATTCTTGCTTCTAGTATTATTTATTTTTCAAAAAAAAAATATTATAGTGATTTTTTTATTAAAGTATTTTTAAACGAAATATTAATAAATGAAAAGCCTATAAATATATATATGCATGATGATAAAAAAAATTATCATATTTAAAACATAACAATCATTTGATGTTTACTTTCTCTAGTATTTTAAGTATTTAATATTTTTATATCATGTATTTGTAAATATATATAAAAAATAACTACTTTTATATGAATGTTTAATCATTATCAACATTAATGTTAATGAAACAAAAAAAAAAAAAGCAAGATGTGGAATTGTAAAATGATTATTATACCTTAGACATGGGTTTAAAATGGAGGGAGGGAGAAGAAAAATAAGAAGAAAATAAAATGAAAAAAATGTGAAAAAATGAAAAGGAAATGAAGAGAATGGTTTTTGTCTTTTTTGGGGGAGTTGAGATTGTGAGAAAAGAAGGACCAGCGAAGGCTGACGTAAGAATATGATAGGATATGAAGAAGATGAATGGCAATAGTGTGAACGCGCTTTAAGATACGAATTTTTTGAGATTGGATTTGGCGGTGTCAGGTAAAGGACAAACGCACACTTCAATTTTTCAATTTTCTTAAATATTTGTTAACGTGCGTCCAAACTCACATGTTAAAATATTCAAAATATAACTTTTAATTATTTTTTTATTGCTTTAAAATCATAAAAATAATATTTAATATATATTTTACAATAGTTTAAAATATTCAGTAAAATATATTTAGTATTTTTAATATGTACATATAGACGCATGTTGAAATCCCGTTCCTATTTTATGAATCTGCTTACTTTCGCAATAATGAAACTTTCCCTCATTAGATGGGATTCTCAGATAATAAGTTATAATAATACAGTACCCAATTAGTTTATAATTTTCCTTTTCTATCTAAACACAATTATATTTTTCATTCAACATTTAACTAATGAAAAATATCAAATATAAATTTAGTTAATTTTTAACACAGTAAAGAATTTTTCTTCTGGGCACTTGCAGATTCATTGTTAATAAAATAACAATTTTTTTAATCAGTTAAAAAATTATAATATTTAATATTATTAATATATATTTTTATTTATTATGTGAAATATTGTACGTGTTAAAAAATTGATAAAATAATAAAATTTTAAATTTTTGTGTTTCATTTTTATATTTTTTTCATCATTAAATCATTTATTCTGTATCTTATTTTATTTATCTTTTCTTTTCTCCGCTCATCACGCACCTCCGTGAGGCTGTGAAAATCATATAACAGAGATGCGAGTAGAATAAGACCCCTTCTCGGAAGATAATCATACGAAATTTATTTTTTAAATAATCTAAATCTCGTAGACATGGAGTAGATAAGCTTACAAGTATTTATTCATATTCCAATTTAATTTTTAATGTCAAATAACAGTACACATCCAATAAAATTAATCACAAAACACAAGTTCAGTACTATAATTTTTTTAATGTTATTTTTAATTAAAATTAAAATTTTATCTTAATAATTCACATAATAAAAATTAATATTAAATATCAAGATATTTTATCGAATTAAATTCTTTTATTTAAAAAATAACACAAAAAATATTTACAATACCGCTCTTAAATTTTATCCTAAAATCATGATGTACATAAGAAATGAGTCCGGTTAATTATATGTATGGAATGTCAGAAAGATAGGGGGGAGAGAGAGAGAGAGAGAGAGAGAGAGAATAAGATAAAAAAATATTATATCAATGTATAAATATAATTATTGTTTATAAAATTAGATAAATTTATTTAATATGTATTATTAATAATAAATGTATAATTGGTACTATTTTGTCGGAGTACAAATATTCTTTGTAGAACATAATCTTACTTATAACAAGATATTTTTCTAGACATAAATTATACATTTAATTTTTTTAAATTAAACATATAATACTTAAATCAATCATTTAATAATATGTCACTAATACTTTTTGAAAAATTGCAAGATATTTTAAAGTTATTCCTAATTATATCATCCTGTTGGAGCCAGCACGACGATGGTTAGTAAAAATGACCATGCACTTCTTATTAAGGTTTTTATTTTCATCATTTATTAATGATTATATGATTTATTTTTTATTCTTTTATATATATAATATAAAATTAATAAATAGTAAAATTTTATTTAAAATCATAAAATTTAATGTCATCAATGCATTATATCTTATGATCTCTAATAAAAACTCATTATATGTTCTCATAATGTATCCTTAGAAACACATTATAATTCTATTTTAAGATTGTGAAACTGAGAATAACAAATAAACAACATATAAAGTTATTTTATTTTATTTAATCTTGATAATTTGAATAAGTTTTAGTATTTTATATCTATCATCTTTATTTCCTTAACAATTATGCGGTTCCATTAGAATTGCCAATATGATTGTGAGGATAAGAACCATAAATATATTCAAACAATTAAAATTTTAAAAATTATTTTTATTAAAAGGAAAATACACATAACTATGTGAATTAAGTATTTAATTATTAATTAATTTTTATGTTCTATCTATATATGGTTCACGGTATAAATTTATAATTTTCACAATGATAATATACATTAAAATTATTCCCATTTACATATGATGATTTTATTAAAAATTTAAATTGTAATCTTATATTCTCCTGAATTGCTGAATGCTGACAACTTAGAGGCATTTATTAGGCAGGCAAATGCTTTAACGTTTAGTTAAAAAAAAGTGATTGTTGGTATTTGGCATTATTTTCTAAGAAAGGATGAAGATGGGAGACTTTGACATTGGGAATGCACGTTCAGATTGCCCTAGATGGGTCCTATTGCTCCTACAACTTGATAGAGTAATCAACAATATACGCTGCTTTTGACCTTATGTCCGTCTACACAAAGCCAGGCTAACAAGTAGGCAAGTATGCTAAAAGTTATGAATGTTTATGTGCTAACTCAATTTGCACTCTGCAGGTGCAAAGAATATCAATCATATAATGTGCATGTAAAAAAATTATACATACGCAAATAAAAAGTCTCGTCATAAAAGCCTTATTTCATGACCAAAAAGGTGTTTGAAATATTCTGGGTTAAGTGTAAAAGCAAATTAATGGTTGACGAAAAATCTTAACAACCCTTCTAAGTTTTATAGGTTTTTTTTTCATAGTATATAATATAAGAAAATTTCCTGTCTTCCCCAAGAAACATGTCTCTCACTCACACTGCCTGGGTTTCGGTATTGGGCTAATTCACCAACCTGTCCTCTGGTGTCATTTGAAAATCAAGAACATGTTTAATTTCTATTTTAAAAATATTTTTTGTTTTTAAAAATAAAAAACTGTTTTTAAAACAGAAAAAGTTGTATTAATTTCTTTTTACAAATACTAACTAACAACTTAAAGATATTAATTAAAAAATAAAATTTAAAATATTAAAAAAGTATTTACCGGATGCAAATGCAAAATGATTTATCACTTTTTTAGTTATAAACATTTCATAAGATATCTTTAATATTTTTAATTAATTTTTTAAGGACTTTAATTTTTTTAGACATAAATATGAAATTGGTCTCTTGACTTTGAATACTTTCTGCTTTGGTTCCTTTTTGTGAAATTTTAGTTTTGATTTCTGAAATTAACGTGGTCTAATAAAAAAACAGACATGCAATAATTTCATAATAGACCAAATAAAAAAATAAAATATCAAAATCACATATTTAAAGGATAAGTTTAGACACTAAAAAAATCTCAAATTTTAAGGATGGTTTTCACATTTATTTCTTTAATCATGATATAGATTTATTGAACGTATATTTGGAGTAATGCCTCTCAAATCAAAATGTGAGGTCTTTACAGGACAATATCCCGTGGGGCACCATATGGACTAGGGACATTTCATAGGATAATATCATGTGGTAGACGTTCCAAACCCTAATGCCTCCCCCTCCTCTTCACCCCCCTATCCAATCTCATTCTCTTTCTCACCATTGCAACCCATCTCACCTTCTCATTATTGCTTTTCCTTTTCTCTGTCATTCTCACACCCTACCATTCTCACGCTCACACGCAACCATGAACGGGGATTATGGAACATATTCATTAGGTAATCATTCATTATTTGCAGCAACCCATGTAAAATGCTATTTAACATAAATTCACTCCACGTTTGGTGCCATGTAGATTATGGCCTTAGGCTATGTGATCAAAAGAAAGATTTAGTATAAGCAAGGCGAAAAAACCCCAACCAAAAGAAATACTTTCCAAATTAACCCTAATTTGATCAATTAGCACCATATCCATGGAATTGAAATTTTAAAATTAGGTCCAAAAAGTTATGAGGATAAATGGCAAATTACCCGAGTCTTTTTCAACACGCAAAAGCCATAAAGATCCCATAAAATATTAGCTCAGATTTTTAAAAGCTTCAATTAATTTGGACTTCATATATTATTTGATATATTTTTTAAAATTTATTCTCCCATTATATTAGTTTGTAACTTGGTCTTTAGAGTTTGAAAATTTTCTATTTAAATCAATCCGTTAAACCATTACCTTACTGTTGGAGCACCGTAGGACCTTCATGCTGCCAATGCACTGACTGCCGACAACACCATAGCAAGATTCCAATTTCACCTCCGAACACTATCACCGGTCTCCATCTGATAGTCCCAGTAACTGTAAAACCCAAAGTCCGAAACCCAAAGGTGACATCTCTGTGTAAACGAAAGGCACATTAGACGAAGACTGACTAATCAGGAGATGGCAACAACGGAACTGAGCGACATGTGTATACAAGAGTCAAGCTTAGGTGTATCATCCACATCTTATTTTGTGATTCATCAATAATTTTAATCATAACTTTGGAGTGAGTTTTAAATAATTATTCGATTTTTTCTTCAGCACTCACATCATCAGTAGACACAGAAAAACACATTTTTACAGATGTTCATTTTAATGCGCACGCTAGCTTTACACATTATCTGTCGATTTGAATACCTATGATGGATCGTGCTTACATAAATAATTCAGCTTAGTTCCTTAAAAACATGTCAACATCAACCTTTAAATCCAATTTTAAACAATTAAAAGTAACAAGATTTTATCAAGAAAATATAATAATAAATTATTCTTTTAAAATAAAATCATACCACATTTAATGCTTAAAATTAAGATTTAAAAAAAAAAGAAAATCAAATTCCGATGGAAATCTCCACACACACACATCCCCGAAGCTCCAACCAAACGAACAAAAATTGTCGTCAGAGTAACTTTTTCAACTACAGAGACCGTTATTTAACCAAGTTCCACAATAGTACAACATCCGTCCTACTCGTTGTGTTAAAGCTACACAATACATCTGTTAAAAGCGAAACAAAAATACGAACCAAGTCAAAGAATGTCCTTTCGCGAGGGCACATCGAGTGTGGTCCTTCCATGAGATCCTCATCACTTTGCTTTAACTCGAGGTAGAGAATTTGCAAAATGCAGCATAGATTAACACTTGGCACAGTAACCCCACATCTTACTCAACAATATCAGAGTGTCCTTGCCAGCCAAGTCTGCTAAACTCCTCCATGCAATAACTTCCTCTGTTTCTCTTGGATTAAGTTTCCTTTCCCAGTGGTGCCGGTCAGCCCAAAACCAATTAGCTTTGTGTATTTACATAACCATGCTGCCACATGCAAGCTCAAGTAAGGGATCTTCCAGCCCACTCTCGTTCTCGTCTCTTTTGTTTGGCTAGCATCCTATTAAACTTCTCTTTCCCCTTCTCCAAAAGAGGATCATGCACAACATAGTCATTTGGGTCCTCAGTGCGAGACATGCGATCCTGCATATTACCAGAAAATTACATACAAAATTTAAGGCAGTGGTAAAGGACTGACTTATGCGGTTAGACTTCAGAAAGCAATTGTTTCAAATTACAAAATTAGTACATATCAGCATATCAGTTCATAGATTTTCTGCATTGTTTTTCAGAGTTTTTCCAATGAGAATAGAAGATGGGTAAGGCACACTGATGTTTCCGATGGAAAAATAAAACAATTTCATATCTCCAAGCTATACAGCCCCATTGAGATGGAATGCATAGAGAAAACTCACCTTGCCAGACTCGGGGGCAAATTTTAACGTAACATCTCTCCAGTCAGACAATTCCTCATTATTAACATTTTCAGATTCACCAGCTGTGGATGTGGCCTTCGCTGATAAAGAATTCTTAAATTTTTCAAGTTTGGCCAGAACCTAAATTCAGAGATGCAAAAGGAAAAACGTTACACAAGAATATAAATTGAAAATAGACATACATATTATCCCAAAAATACCCATAAATTTAGAAGCAAATCATTAACCCCCTAATCTGAAAGTTTTTCAGCTTTATACTTACTGATACTATTCCCTACACCCTACTCAAATTCTAGGTAGATATTGTTTTAGAAGAACATCACTCCCAAGCAGTAAAATTCAATAAGTATCATCTTTTCCCCAAAACACACGGTAATATGCCATTCTCACAAAATGGAAAAGCCCATGGAGCATTGTTTTGACACATCAACAGAAGTTCAATTAACTGTCAATCATTTCTTCATTTATCCAGAAATTTCCATTCAACAGCTCTTAACATTTCTCACTCATATCAGATCAGATTATCAGTCAAGCTATCACTCACAGTTGATTGCATTAATTAATAGTCTAGAACAATCTAGAACACTAGCCAAAAGAAATAACACAAATGGAGTATGGTATAAGAAAAAAGAAAATAAAACATATAAACCAAAAAATATAACATACATCATTTTCACGCCCTTGAAGTCTGCGTTTCTTCTGCTTCTGCAATTGTCTTCCTCTCTCAGCTTCATTCAGTAGCTGCAAATCTGCATCAGCATTAGCCATTCGTTCAGCTCTTGCTTCAGATCCTACTCCCTTTTTCTTCAAGGACAATTTCTCCACCTTTGGTTGATCCTCATCACTTACAGCATTAGACCTGGCAAGAAGACATTCAACAATTTACTTAAGTTTTAGTTGGTTATTACAAACCACTTGTGTAATTGTAAAAGCAACAAAACAAGGCTCACTTGCGCAGGAAATGCTATAAATATAAACTCTTCATTTGGAAATTCAAGCAAGCAAACTTCATAGGTGGTAAAAGTCCAACAAGAAGCCACTTTAAAATATTTCTTTGGCAGATATATTGAAAGAGGATGCTTGTCCTTCAGTTAAATAAGGAAAAACACATGCAGCACTGCAGTAGCAACTTTCAAGTTCCACAACAGAATCAAGACATGACTGAACTATTGTGGATTTCTCAGGTCCATGAATTAGGAACCTCTTCTTTAAGGAGAAATATCAAATAGCAGATGGATTTCTATATGCAAGAAATATTTGACGTTGATTAAAATCTACACATATTCTGGAACTTTGGAGAAGGAAATACAAGCCTATTTTGGGAAATATTATACTTGTATGAGATTAAGAAAAAACAGGCAAGCGCAACATGTTTTCAATTCACAGGCTTCCTCATGAGAACTAAATGTGATATAATACAGCCAAGCGCAACCATCAAATGCTTGTCTCTATCTTGTCATCCTTGGCTACAAGTTCAAATAGCTTCATTCCCCACTATGCCAGTAGGGAAACATGGAGAAAGCAATGGCCACAGTCTACCAGTAAGGAGCATAATCATAGATCATTCTTGTTGCACTGTCAATATTATACAATTTAAAGTGCTTAATTTGCTTTTTACCATATTATAAACCACCACCATTCAAATGTCCACATTGACACTCTTGTGGCAACTGGTAAAAGATATTCAAGTTCTAAATATGAAAGACATAACAAAATTTCAAATACTGATATTTTTACCTAGTCGCTGATGCATCCTGGTTCTCTGGACTAGACCTTCCTGCTTATGAAAATGATAAGTTGAAGATCGTGAGAGAGGGATATTATAAACTGTTCAAAGGAATCAACAGTTAAAGTGTTGATAAGTTTAATGATTAGAGCATTCACCAGTAAGACAAACTCCTGCCATAGATTTGTACGTTAAAAATACATGCTAAATCCCTCTAATCCTTAATTCATTATCACAATGACAATTAAAATTAATGGTTCTTATTTTTGCATGTTGTCACTTTCATTTGCTCTTGTAAATGCAAAACATAGTAAACATTCACCTAGTGTGTTGAGAAAGTAAAATGGAATTATAAAATTTACACTCAGCATAAATATCCATATACCATAAGCAGTTACAGGGATCCCAATTAAATGTTCCTATAGTAGGTGACTCAACAGTATTATCTTCTAATCATTTTATTATTTGTTAAGAATAATGTTTTTCTGCTATACATGTATTATTTTTTTATTCCATTTTACAGGTGCCAGATGTCATTTCTTTAACTTTATTCTACCTCACTTATTGCCTTGAACAATTTCTAATTCTATTTCAGAAGGTTCATTATTAATACTTAGTACTTTCTCGTATTTGTACAGGTGCAACATTCATTACAAAAGAATGAGAGTTTGATACCATAATGTTGATACTTCAAAAACAACTCATTATTTTGTTCAGTTTTAAAATTTTCAGCCGGCTTTTGGATGTAGGAAGAGAGCTTAATAATTGCTAACAGATTTATCTTCTGTTGGGGATATAGAGGGAATAAAAATGGAAGTCGACAGTACTCTGATAGCAAAATGTCAGTTATAAGATCGTCAAAATTTGCATGGGCAGAAGCAGAAACACTTCCAAGATCAGAGGTTGAGAATTTGAAATTTTGCTAGCTACAATATATAATACGGAAGAAGATTTGTTGTACCAGTTCGCAACTTCGGTTTGGGAGGGTGATCACCCAATTCCTTCCGCTTTTTGAGTATTTGCCTGCGCATTCTTGCATCAAAATCTGCTTCATCACCATCATCACTGGAATCAAGATGAGCCATGTCACCAGCTTCTGAATCTTTTTGAGGCTCTTCTTTCTTTGAGTTAAGTGCATCCCTTACAGATAGCTGTAAATCTCTTGTTGATTTACCATCAGATGAACTCTGCAAAATCAATACAACAAGCTTATATGATGTGTGGCCATTTGATGTAATACTTTTATGTTGTTAGATTTTCATCTAAACATGAAATTTGTGAAATTATCGAATGACTATGTAATACTGTGACTCTTGGAACTTTAAGCCAAAAACAGCAGCTACAAATTATTAATACATTAAAGTAATAAAAATTGCAATTAGTACAAAGTATTTGGGAATCAGAAGAAAAACCGTAAGAAAGGCCTTATTACCACTTCATTATCAAGTGTTTCTTCCTTTAGAAGACGAGGATCATTCAAGACATCGTGACTGCTCTTAATTTTTTGCTTCACTGATGCCAATTCCTTTTCCTCCTCTTCAGCTTCCTCCCCAAACGAAAGCAAGTTCAATTTTCTGCAATTTGAATTAACAAAAACAAAAAAAGGATCATGCTGCTTGAAGAGTAAACATTTGCGACAGAAACCACAGCATCAAGTTCTAAGAAGACATTTTTTCAGTAGGAGGCTGAACTTACTTTACACCTTTCTTCTTCGACTCTTTACTCTCCGTATCAGGTTTAGCTTCAATCTGAGTTTTCTGAAGTGTTCTCGGAATAATATCTTCAAATGGATTCCATAACACCTACAACCAATACATTAAGAAGATATTAGGAAACTTAAATTTCCAATAACTGAACACAAACTTCAACAATTTTCATGTGAAAGTAAATCAAAATCACAATTCACAACCTACCTCAACTGATAATATCTTCGGAGCCGGATCCAAAGGCCGGTCATTCTTATCAGTTTCGACTTCACCCAACCTCAAAAGGTTATACATTGTATCTCCCGTCACCTGAAGTCAAATAAAAGTGAGAACAATCAATCAAAGTATAAAACCCTAACAAATTACCGAAACCAAAAAAAAAAAAAAAAAAAGTTTCGCTACAGCATAATTGCATTTCGATTCTTTACCTTTCCAAAAATCGTGTGCTTGCGATCGAGCCAGTCACAGCGATCAAGAGTAACGAAAAACTGGCTTCCATTGGAATTCGGAGATCCAGTATTGGCCATTGCAACTAATCCTCTGTGCTTGAATTTCAAACGCGAATGAAACTCATCAGCGAAAACGCCGCCATAAATGCTTTCACCTCCTACAACAGTACAAAACAAAACAAAACGATTTGTGATTGAGTAAGTTTACGGAAGAGAAAGTGATGAATTAGAACGCGTGGGGAATAAGCGAATTAGAGAACGTTTAGGGTACCGGTGCCGGAGGCGGTGGGGTCGCCACCTTGGATGAGGAAGTCTTTGATGATGCGGTGGAAGATGGTGTTGTTGTAATAGCCTTCGAGGCAGAGTTGCACGAAGTTCCTCACCGCTTTAGGAGCCTCTTTCGGCCAGAGTTCAATGTCCAAAGGGCCGCGCGTGGTGTTCACGACCACCTTCCCCTTGGTCGGTGGTTCTAGAACATACACCGTCGACATCTTCTACTACTACTATTCCGATTGCTCCACCGGATTCTTCTTCCCCACTGATTCTGATTCTGATTCTCTGGGGGAGGGTTTTGTTAGTTGTTATCGATTTCAGAACGGATAGCTCAAGAAGAGAGATTAAATGACGTCCCGTTTTGTCAGTTCCATATCTTTGGTTTTTTTTTTTTTTTTCTATGTTCGTAAACTCGATTCTCGTATATTAATCCCCAGCCAATTCGAGTAAAAAAATTTAATCTTTAAAACTATTAGAAATAGATTGTTTTAAAAATATCTGTCAATTTAATCTTAAGTTATTTAATTTTTTTGTCAAAAAATATTTTTTAATTGTATTATTTTTTTATCAAAGCTTTTAAAGGTAGAAGTAATTTTGTATTTGACTACACTTATTAAAATAGTTTTTCGTTTTAAAAAAGTGATTTCAACTGTTTAAATAAAAGGATGAATTTTATTTATTATATAATTGAATAGAAGACAAAAATTTTACTAATTAAGAAACACATTTAAAAAAATATTTTTGCACATGTTAAAATTTTTTAAATATATTTCACAACATTTGATAATCATAATTTTACTCAAAACAATTCAATTAAATAGTTTATCTAATGAAAAGTTAATACTTTACACACATAAATCAAAAGCACTAGCAACATGAAACTTATAATATTTTTAGATATTGTTGCATAAGACATAGAAAATATAAACATAAACAAATAAGCATGTACATTATATGAATATAAAAATAAACAAATAATCATATCAATATATTATTATATGAACATTATTTGACTAAAACTGCAGAAAATATAAGTTATAAAAGTATAAATAAAATATTTGATTGAGATATCATATATGTGTCACGTACTTAGACTTTATATGAAAGATGATGAATATAAAGAAATGTATAACATTTTATTCAATTTAAAATACAATTCCAAAAAATAGTCCAAGTATTTAGAAATGCTATATATGAGATATGACAATAAAATGACGTCGTCTCAAACATACCTCACAATGATTAAAGTAAAAGAAAAAAAATTCAGACTCTTACTAACCTAAAATATCAAAAGATTCAACTACACCTATGTGGGCTACATGACTTTTGAAGATTCCAACATTTAAGCCTTTGGTTAGTAGATTAGCCAACATCTTCTCTGTGGAGATGTGCACAATCTTAGTCTGAAATTTTGAAACCTTATCTCTAACAAACAAATATTTTATGTCAAAGTGCTTTGTATGAGAGGAGCTTTTGTTATTTTGAGAGAAGTGTACAATGGCAAAATTATCGCAATATAGCACAAGTGACCAAGATATACTCTCAATGACTTAGAGTTCAGAAATCAAGTTCTTGAGCTACATGGCTTAGCAAGTAGCAAGCGATATACTCTGCTTCCATGGTAGAGGTAGCTGTAAGAGTTTGTTTCACACTCTTCCAAGAAATAGCTCCTCCTACCATCATGAAGATACAGTCGGATGTAGATTTTTGATCATCAGGACAACCTGCAAAATTAGAATCAGAATAACCAATGACCTGAAGTTGATCAGACTTCTTATAGGTCAACATGTGATCTTTTGTGCCCTACAAGTACCTTATCACCTTCTTTGCGACTCTCAATGACCCAAACCTGGGTCGCTCAAGTATCTTCCTAAAGCATTGACAGCAAAAGCAATGTCAGGACGAGTGTAATCTTGAGCATACGTTAAACTGCCAATAACGGAAGCATATGAGACTTTCTTCATTTCAGCTCTTTCATTATCATTTTGAGGACATTGAGATCTAGAAAGTTTGTCCTCCTTTTGAACAGGTGCAACACATGGGGAACAAGAATGCATGTTAAACCGTTTGAGGATTCTATCAATGTATCCTCTCTAAGACAATCCAAGGACACCACGTGACCTATCACGATAAATTTGTATGCCTAGAACAACAGAGGCATTAACTAGGTCCTTCATATCAAAGTGATTAGTCAACATCGACTTTGTCTCAGTCAAAAGTTTAACACAACTACTTGCCAAAAGAATATTATTAACATAAAGCACAAGAATGATGAAATTTCTCCCACTAGTTTTCAGATAAACACATTGATTTGAAGCATTTTCCTTGAAACCAAGGGAATTGACCACCTGATCAAATTTTAAGTACCATTGTCTAGATGCTTGCTTTAATCCATAAATGGATTTCTTAAGTTTGCAAACTAAGTGTTCTTTGCCAATTTCAGCAAAGCTATCAGGCTGAACCATATAGACATCTTTATGTAAATCTCCATTCAAGAATGTTGTTTTCACATCCATCTGGTGAAGTTCTAAATCAAAGTGTGCCACCAAAGCCATAACAACTCGGAAAGCATCTTTAGTAGATACTGGTGAGAAAGTTTCTTTATAGTCAATGCCCTCTTCCTAACTATAGCCTTTGGCTACTAGTCTGGCTTTGTACATTTCAATTTCACCATCTGGATTACGTTTGGTCTTAAAGACCCATTTGCATCCAATTGGTTTGCAATCAATTGGTAACTCAACAAGATTCCAAACACCATTGTGTGTCATAAAGGCTAATTCATCATGCATGACATTTAGCCAATCAGAAGCATGAGAGCAAGAGATGACCTCTCCAAAAGAAATAGGATCATCAACATCATTGAAATTGAATTCATGTTTTTGGAGATAAACAATGTAATCATCAGGTATTAAAGACCTGCACGCTCTTTGAGATCTTCTCAAAAGAACCTTTTCAACAAGGTCATCTTGTTCCTGTTCATTCATGAAAGGAGCTACTATATCTTCATATTGATGGCATAGGAATTGTAACCCTGTCCTCCCTAAGGATGATTGGCTGTGTTGTTTGACTCCCACTATCCAAGACATCTTCAAAGAATACAACATGATCGGATTCAATAACTTGAGTAGAGTGAGAAGGACAATAGAATCTACTATCACGAGAACTAATGCAATAGCCAATGAAAAAACCACTGATAGTTTTTGATCAAGCTTCTTCAACTGAGGATTATAAGGTCTTATCTTTGCTTTACAACCCTATACATGTATATGCTTCAAGGTCGGCTTCTTTCCAGTCATGAGCTCATAAGGAGTCTTAGGTATAGATTTACTGGGTACTTGATTGAGAATGTACACAATAGTTCTTAAGGCATCTCCCCAAAGAAAGACTAGTAGGGAGGAATGGCTCAACATACATCTCACCATGTCAAGAAGTGTCCTATTCCTTCTCTCTGCAACTCCATTTTGCTCAGGTGTACCTGACATAGTATATTGGGCTTCAATGCCACATTCTTCAAGGTATCTTACAAAAGGTCCAGGGTTTCTACCTATTTCATTGTGTCTTCCATAATATTCTCCTCCTTTATCAGACCTTACATTTTTGATCTTTTTTCTCGTTTTCAATTCAACAACAACTTTAAAAGATTCAAAGACATTTAGAGATCTAGATTTCTCCTGAAGGAGTTCTATCCATCCAAACTTGGAGAAATCATCAATAAATGTGATAAAGTACCTATATCCACCCAAAGTAGCAGGTGTCATAGGCCCACACATATCAGTGTGAATCAACTGTAACACATCATCACACTTGCCAGAAGTTTTATTTCTGACTTTGGCAAAGAACTTGCCTTTAATGCAATTAATACAAGTGTCAAAATCAAAAAATTCTAGATTATGAAGAATGCCTTCTTTGATTAATCTTTGCATCCAAGGCTTAGAAATATGCCCTAGACATCTATGCCATAACATAGAAGAGTTGTCATCAATCCTACCACATTTTTGTGCAATAACAAAATTAGCAATCATGTTACTCAAGGTTAACATATATAGCTCATCACACATAACTCCAAAAGCGACAACAATGGAATTGAAAAAAATAACTAGTTTTTCGTTACTAAAAGTAAAAGAATAAGTGTCTTTATCTAAGGCAGAAACTGAAATCAAATTTCTTCTAATGGAAAGTACATAAACAACATCCTTTAATACCCAAACATGTCCATAAGGTAAACATAAAGAAACTACTCCTATGTCTTGCACAGTTGCTCTAGCTCTATTTCCCATGATAATCTTGGATTCTGCATCATTTGGCTTCCTCAGGCTTATGAATCCCTGTAAAGAATTCACAACATGAATAGTGACACCTGAGTCTAGCCACCAAGAATGGGAAGGAATATCAATGGTATTAGATTCAAAACATGCTAGAGCTAGAGGTATACCTTGCTTCTCAAGTTTCTTCTTCAGGAAAAAATAATCATCCACCTTGTGACCATACTTCTTGCAGTATTTGCAGCTCCCTTTAAAGGAATTCTTCTTGGGTCCCAAGTTGACAGGTGCTTTCCCTTTTTTATTTCTCTCAACATGAGTTTCAAAACAAGACTTTCCCTTATAATCTCCTTTTGTCTTATTCTTAGCACCAGGAGAGGAAGTAGCAAATTGAATAGTGTGAGACTTGGTCTTTTTCATATTTTCGTCTTCTTGAGTGACAATGGCAATCACGTCATCTACCTTCCATTCTAACTGCTTATATGCATGGTAGGATGTCTTTAACATGTCAAACTGAGAGGGGAGAGAATCCATAATCTTCCAAATTAAATAGTCATCACCAAGATCCACTTTCAATACTTTCAGTTTGTTATAATAATGGACCTGTTTCATCATATGCTCACGTACTCCACTGACACCATCATACATGGTCTTCTCAAGTAAAGACAAGTACTGACCCTTTATTGCTTTGTCATAGGTTTGAAATTTATCCCCAACAGATTTCAGAAAAATCTTTAGCATTATTGCTTTCTTGGATACTCTGCCTGATAGACTTCTCCATGATATACTTCTTGACCATGAGACAGACCCTATTAGAGTGTTCTCACTTCTCTCGAGAGGTCTTTTGGGTAGCAGTGGATTCAGCAGTGAGAGCTGGAGGCTCATTTTCTCTTAGAGCTAAGTCTATGTTGGTGATAGCAAGGTAGAGATCCAATGAATCTTTCCAATCCTCATAGTTTGTCCCATTTAGTGTTTTGACCGAAGTCAATTGCATAGGCAAAGAGGCTGGAATCAAACAAGATAAGGAATCATTTAATATGCACAATTAGTCTTGCAAAAGAGAGTTAAATGATCCTGTATTCACAACCAGAATATGTCTTAACAATAAAATTTCTCAATTATTATAGTCCTGCCTAAGGGTCCCGAACTATGATAAATAAGAAATTTTATAACAATATAACACACAAGCTTATGACACTAGAAAACTAACATCGATGGGATATTAGAAAATAATTGAAACAAGTAAAATAGAAATGCATTGTATTTACATATCAATCACATCAATGATAATATATCGATAGGATATAATTATTAATAATGCACCATTAAATTTATAATGAGATAAATCATATATTTTAAATATATTTTGTATAATTGTAATCCACGATAGGTGGACTAGAATCACACAAAATGACAGTAATTATCATGTCTAAATATCATGAAAAATTTGTGATGCCGTAAAAGTGTACATTAATTAACATCAATAGGCATGCTTTAATACATATAGGGATTCAACAAATTAAATTTCTTGTGCAACATGCTAATAGGGAGATTACATAACATACTAATGTCAGATACATGATGTATATCATGCACAAAATTACAAACCCAAATGCTAAGAATACAACATAAATTAATTAATTTAAAATTTTAATTAATTAATAATAAATATTTGCAGTATTTTAAAATCTAAAAAAAATATCAAATTAATAGAAGATGTGAATTGGATAATTATAAAAGGATTAGAATTCATTCGGATTAAAGAAAGTCTCGTAGGAACGGGAGCTAATGATAATTACTTTGAAATAGCGTAAAGAAATATTGTATCAATATCAAGACAAGTCTAATGCAAGTAATTGCATCAATCCCATGCATAAAATTTTCGGGAGAGTCACTCGCTAGAACATAGGATTCTATATAGCAACAACATATTATTCCACTTGGATTTTATTTCTATTTTAATTTTATTTTTATTTTATGAACTTTTATATTTTTACGTCTTTAGTTGACATAACATTAATGTTTATGAAGATTCTTACCCACGACATTTCTTTATATGCTGATAAAACCAATGATTGCTTTAAGATTTATGGACAGGTGGTAATAGTGCATTTTTCAATTTTTTTTTCTGTACTAATTGATATTAATAACATTCTAAATTTTGTTAAAGGGTTTTAGCGGAAAGAAAAATTTATCTTCAATGGAAGCAAGATTCAATATCGACGTAAAAAATTTTAATTACCTGAATTAAATCCGACAAAAAATTCATTATTAGCGAAAGGCACAGATCTCCAAATTAAGTTCGTAGAAATTTTATATCTCTTATTTGAAAGGGATTATGACTATGTTTATGTTCATAAAAAAAACTCAAATCAATTTTTCATACTATTCCATTATTAAGAATTGAAGAGAAACTTTTGGTTAGGGTTTCAAACAAATTACAGAATACATAGAAGCAACTATAATTCATTTCTTAATCTGGCTCTAATACTAATTGTTGAAATTTTAAATAATGAGCAATTCAAGATACGAATTATAAAATGCATTAAATTAGTTTTTGGTTTAAGATTACATACCCGAAACTAATCCTTCATCCATCTCAAATTTGATGTATATCTGATATACGAAAAGATGAGAAGATAATTGCAAGAGATGAGATTGTTCTGCTCTCTGTCTAGGAAGTTACAAAAGTGATCATGTGTCTAAGTTAGTGCCTGATGGGATAACATATAATTGACTTCCCAGACGAGACCAAAGACTTCTCAATGAGCTTATTTTATAACCTAACCCATTACGGTTTATTAAAAATATAACCCAAAGTAATATTATCCATTAATTGGTTAATAATAAAAATATAATTAAATAATAATTGATATTATAAATTATAAATAATTGATTATCAATCTATAATAATAATAATCTAACAATATAAACATAAACAAATAGGCATGTAGACAAAAATATTGTAATTAGATAGTTGCTACTGCCTCTTCACTTGTCCAATTAAATTTTGTTCGGTTTTCATAGTGTCTAAGCTTTTATGATTTTAATTCCATTTATTACCGACAATTATAGAAGCAAAATAGCTTGAATTTTACTGGTTTAGAATATGGTAAATATTCTTTTAGCAAAACTCAATTTGATTCCTGGAATTAGAAAGAAGCAAATAATATAACATGTGTGGCAAAGATTAAGTTTGAATGAACTTCTAAAGAAAAATAATAATAATTTTTTTATAAATTAAAATAATTTATTCCCTTTTTTTTTTCTCCTATTAAAGTTTATTCAATTTGGCCAATGTCAAGTTTCTCAGTGTGAAAGTCAACATATTTCAGTATTCTTCTTCACAGCAAAACTCGGGATTTCATACTGCAGAATTGGTATCAAAACACTGTCAGCTAATTTTGATGCCTGATTCACAAGAATTTGTGACATTGTTACACGGAGTATTTCTATCCTATTAGAAATGATTGAATCCTACCATTAATTAACAATAAAAATGACAAGATCCAACAATAATCAAAAGTAAACCAAATTAAGATAAACTAAATTCTCAAACATTAAAGATGCGTAAAATTATTATTATTATTATTATTATTATTGCTGAGAGTGACAAAAAGACATCACTAATTTCCTATTCATTTTGCATATAAAAAAACTGCCAGTACCCTTTTTTTCATTAATCATTTTTGTTATTTAAATTACTAAGAATTGATATTATTTATATAATATAATACTATGTATAATTCTTTTTATCTCTCACTTATATTTTATCCTTTTCTATTATATGTATTTAAGTTTACGTTTGAATGATCATAAATTTATATTTATTTAAATACTATTAATTATACTTTTTATATTTAATTTATATTTATAATTTTTATATAAACATTGCGTTTGCTTTCCGTTTCTTTTTGATCCACTTAGTTTTATCCCCGGATTGGGCTGGCACGAATCTTTTTAGGTAAAATGATTATTTATGTTTACATTACTTTTTAATATATACATTATTTACTAAAAATATTACTAATAATAGAAACAAGTAATTTCCACATAATAACGACTACGAAAACAATAATTATAATTTAAAATATACAAAAATTACAATAGAAAACGATAAAGTGAATGGATAAAATAAATCTGTAATTGGTCAGGCTTAGTCAAAGTGCCTAAAAACTGAAAGGTTGACAATGAAACATTAGTTGTGTCCGCAGGTTGGAGACAGCACCACTCATGAGGTTTTGCATGGGGTGTTCCATTTCCATCTTCAGACCGCAAGATAGGAACCCAAGAAGGAACAAACCAAGCTTCTCTCCTCCTTCTTGCGGTGGAGCAAGAGGTGGCAGTGGTGGCCACATAGGTTTAGAGAATGTCTTCCCATGGTGGTACCTCGTCACCCTTAAATGCCACCATGGTGGCTGTCGATAAAGACAAGAATAGTAGTCATGCCTTTCGCTGGACAATTAATCGTATTGATAATCCTGTCATCATTGCCGTCCATGTCAAGAACAAAAATATTTCTCAGCGTAGGTACCCTCTTATATATGTTATTCTATATGTCTTGTATCTTCAATTATGTTTATTTATTCGTGATCATTTATGTTACTTGTTTTTATGATTATGCATGCAGAGGGCTCCAATGTTCATCCCCCCGATGAAGACGATTTAGCCAATGTTTTCAATCCCTTACGTCAAATGTGCCATCACAATGTCGTATATATTTTTTTATGAAAATTTATCTTGTTTTCAAAAATAATCGTTTATTTTTGTCATAATGTTTATAAAAACAAGCGGTTATTTCACTAGAATTAATCGGTTGACTTTTTCTTAAAATAAATGATCATTTTTTGAAATAACATTTTTGTTGTATTAAATCCCATTGTTGGTGGTACTTGAAATTTTCTACTCAATACTGATCTTACTCATTAATTCAGATTAAGATGAAAGAAGCCGTAATCGATGATACTGATGTTGCTAGAGGAATTTTGGAATATGCACACAGAAATCGCATCCACACTATAGTCCTTGGTGCACCCTACTCGGCCAAGGGTACTTTGTCATTCGCAAGGTCTTTGAACCTGAGGACAGGAAGCAAGTTAAGTTTTGGGACATGACATACCAAATTTTTGTTTTTAGCATGACCTTAATCTTCATAAAATTTAATTCCCACACGACATTTTTATGTTTCTTTAACATGCATGTACACATATAATATAATGTGTTAATGTCTCTTAATGTGTTGGTTGTCTCAGGAAATATAAAGGCCAAGATGTGCCAGCAGCCATAATGAAATCAGCCCCAGATTATAGTTCCGTATATGTAATTTCAAAAGGGAAGATAGTGGAAGCTCGACCAGCAATACGCCCAATGGTAAACATGGTTGCACCGCAAAACGAAAATGGAGTAAGGTGCCACTGATGAATTTTTGAGTAGCTTTTCAAATGAGTTTAATGATATTCTCACTTTACATTTTCACAATAATTTCTATAAGAAGGAGAGGAATAGAAAGAGAAAGAGAAAAGTGTACAATAAGAAGAGCGATGTGACCGAAATAAAGCTAACAAAATGGACTATTCAGTCTATTCCGACAACAAATTTTAGTAAGTCAAGCTTAAAAATTCAAACCAATTTTTTTGTCAACTTTAAAATTTAATTTGAGTTTGCAAAAATGGGGTCTAGGCCTGGAAAAACTTAATTTTATCAAGCTTTTTAAGGGCTTAATATTTAAAGGTCAATCCCTGAATTTAATTCGGAGCTAATATTTAAAGGTTAAAGTTTACAGTTTATCGGACAAACCCGGTTAAACAGTCATTTTGTCAATTTTAGACCCCAAAGCAGAAAAAAAAAGGCATACTGAGAGAAAAAGAGGAAAGAAATGTGATAGATATGATAGGTGAAGTGATGTGACCCACTTGAGAGAGAAGAAGAGTGTTAAATGGGTGTCCATGTGTTTATAAATTAAAATTGGAAACAAAATATTATGTAGTGTTGTGAAAATGGGAAATGAAAATGTATGCCATGATGAGATGAGTAAAAAGGAGTCCTAATTCTTTTTCACATTCTGGTTTGGCTGCAGTGCAAACAGGACACAATCATCTAGAAGAGGGAGCACCAATGGAAGATCAGAAAGATCACCTCTAAATGAAATGTCAAGGTGTTCTTCAGCTAGTCAGTCAATGGACAACATTTATCTTTCCAATCGTGGACAGAGGTCCCCATTTGGCCATAGCCCAAGCTCAGGTGAAAGTGACTCTTCAGGGTCACATAAATATGGGTCAACGGATACAACTAAACAAGATGGTGATTTAAGCTTTGCATCAGATTCCGAACCCTCAGTAAGTGTAAGAATAGAAATAAAAATAAAATGTTTCTGATTGCTTATAGTGGATCATAATTTTGATTGTCTTTGTTGTAGAACTAGAACAATTTATGTGGCCAAATTAACATTGGAAAATTAATTGGTAAACAGTGTAATCAAGGAATATTTACAATTTTGCTTCATGATAGGGAGATATGGAAGCTGAGATGAAAAGATTGAGGCTCAAATTGAAGCAAACTATGGATATGTACAACTCAGCTTGCAAAGAAGCAATATCAGCCCAAAACAAGGTGATGTAAATTATGTGATCACTGTAAGAAACCTATACTTAAGTCTTTCATTCACCACAACATGCTAAGCAGTAGTACCTTAGCCTTAAAATGATTTACATATTGTGTACGAAACCTCATCTAATACTTCCTCTCTATAATAAAATGGTAATGACAAGTACTATTTAACATGAATATAAAGTAAGGTTAATGACTAATGAGTGTGGTTACACTTTGATAAAGCCTAGGTATGAACAGGTATTAAAAAAGGGTGTAATTTATTTGTAGGCTAAAGAGATTAACCAATGGAAACTGGAGGAGGCACGTAAAGTTGAGGAAGTTAAGGTGTCTAAGGAGGCAGCTCTTGCCCTGGCAGAACAAGAGAAGGCTAAAGCCAAAGCTGCCTTGGAAGCAGCTGAAGAAGCCATGAAGATGGCTGAAAAGGAAGCACAAAGAAGATTGCGAGCAGAAATGAAGGCCAAAAGAGAGGCAGAAGAAAAGGATAGAGCATTAAATGACTTGGCTAGCAAGGATATTCGATATAGAAAATATACCATAGATGATATTGAAAATGCTACTCAAAATTTCTCCCTATCAATGAAAATAGGTGAAGGTGGATATGGACCTGTGTTTAAAGGACAACTTGACCACACCCCAGTTGCAATCAAAATTTTAGATCCTAATGCTTCCCATGGCAGGAGGCAGTTCCAACAAGAGGTGTGATATATGTGCATTGTTCTTTTTTTCCTCATATTGAGATATGAATTTTAATTAACTTTCTCACTTGAACATGTTTTCAAATCTTTACATATACATCCAAAATTCCAAGTGTCTCTCCTTAGAAGAATAACATGTACAATTACTTCTGTTAGAAAATTCTGACTTCTACTGCAAGATTATGTTTATGCAATATTGACAATTTATTTCCCTTCTCACGTGCATAGGTTGAGGTATTATGCAGCATAAGGCATCCAAACATGGTCCTTCTCCTTGGTGCATGTCCTGACTATGGATGCTTAGTGTATGAATACTTGGATAATGGTAGCTTAGAAGATAGATTAATGAGGAAAAATAACAGCCCCCCTATTCCATGGAGCAAACGTTTCGAAATAGCTTCTGAGATTGCAACTTCACTTCTTTTCCTTCACCAAGCAAAGCCTGAGCCAATCGTGCACCGCGACCTTAAACCAGCCAACATTCTCTTAGACAAGAACTATGTGAGCAAAATAAGTGATGTTGGTCTGGCAAGACTAGTGCCATCTTCTGTGGCTGATTCTGTCACACAATATCACTTAACTGCAGCTGCTGGAACCTTTTGTTACATTGATCCTGAATACCAACAAACAGGAATGTTAACAACAAAATCAGATATATATTCCTTGGGGATAATGTTACTACAAATAATCACAGCCAAGCCTCCTATGGGGCTAGCTCACCATGTTAAGAAGGCAATTGAAAAGGGAACATTTTCAGATATGCTTGATCCTATGGTCACTGATTGGCCTATTGAAGAGGCTCTTGCATTTGCCGAACTCTCATTGAGTTGTGCAGAACTCAGCAAAAAGGATAGGCCTGATCTTGCAACAGTAGTAGTGCCAGAGCTTAACCGTTTAAGGAACTTTGGATATGCATCGATGAGTAATCAGAATCTTTGCCATGTAACACGGCCTCCTACGCCTACGCGAAGTCCACGTTGAGAGACATTAAAATAGGTTTCATGTTTGTACATTACCTTACTTGAAATGGTCATGTAGAAACACTCATCATTGTGTTGACAATGGTAGTTTGCAACAGTTTTCTTGTAATGGAAGACTTGCTTCTGTCCAATTTGATGCTTGGTAGTCCAAGATGAGAAAGTAAAATTGGGATGCAAAACATAAGAAACATAACTTACAAAACATTAAACTTCCTAGATATGTGCTAGTGATATATGAAAGGACACTCAATTTTTCACATTAGATTTTAAACAATACAGTGCCAAACAATTGATATTAAATGATGTTCAGGAGTCTTATTGTCGGAGAAGTTGGAAAATATTGTCTGGTACTTCAAATGTGAAAGAGAAATGTTGGTAATATACTGCCTTAAACACTTTTTTTATTATAGATTAAAATTTATTAAAATCTATAAAATTAATGTGAATATCATTCAGTGAACGAGTCTCATTTGTGTTTATGTAATTTCTAAAAAAAATTAGTCAATAATTAAGAGATTATATTAGAGAGTGTGCTCCTATTTACAAATGATATGCAGTAGTTATTCACAGCTGACTCATTTCTTGTGGTATAGCCATAGTGTCATAGCTTCGATCACACTCAGTTACTAATTTCATTGCTACCATTTTGCCGGAAAACTCACAAGTAAAGGGGTCGCTATCCTAGCTTGCAAAGTAAAGAATAAACCATTGATCATGTGAAGTATAATACTTTGAAACCATAATAGAACCAAGTAAAGATGAATTCTGTTTGAAGAAAGGAATAGGAAAAGAGAGAGATTCAAAAGAAGCTTTGCTTCGGACCATCAAATTGAAGTGCATATTTACATTATCTAAAATCTAAGAAAATAATATAACGTTAGTAATAACTTGCTTTTTTTAACACAATCCTATGGACATGAATTTCCGAATTTTACCATCATATATTATTATATATAACTAGTATTTATATATCCCACAATGCATGACATAAATTATATTTTCTTAATTTAATATCTATCTAATCTATCTATGATTTTTTAATTTTTGAGCCTTTCATTTTTTTATTCAGAAATTTTTAAACTCCAAAAGACTTAAACGAGGATTCAATTATTATATGTGAAGCATTAAAAGAGAACAGAATTTATAAATAAGTGAAAATGATAATTAATAAATGTTATATGATTATATATTTTTTATTTTTCTATTTAATAAATAAAATAGGATTTTTTAATTCGTTAAAAATTAATAAACTTTAAATTTCTATTTATTTAAAAATCCAACAATAACAATAACAATAAAGTTCTCACGTATCTTTCTTTTAAATTTATATATTTTTTAAAGTTCTTTCAATTTAATTATTTCATTTAAAGCATATGTTTGTTTTTTTCCTTTACTTTTCATGTTTTCAACCTTTCAAATCTTAACTGAAAAAATTTTATGTATTAATTTTTTTAATAAATAGATTTTATGTATTTAGTATCTTAAAAACTCTCCTGATGTTAATTTAGCTATTAAAAAAATTACAATATCAAACAAGTCACTCAAATAACTTAATTTTTTAATTGAAAAATTATGATAAAATTTGAATTTTGTATTTATTATCATTAATTATACTTTTTTATAAAATTTTTAGTGTAAAATTTTTTACAATCTATTATTAGAATATATCATTAATATGGTTTTTATATTAATTATTAAATAATTAATCATTGATATAACAGTATATGATTTGGTGATTGTAAAAAAATACCTTTACATTGTTCTTATATTTAAATTAATTTTTTTTGTTTTCAACCTATTTTAAAATTCTAAAAGGTTGGTATATATATATATATATATAGATAGATAGATAGATAGATAGATAGATAGATAAAATAATAAAATTAAACAAATTACAAATTTTAAAAAATTTATGCGACAACTTTAGTAAATAAAAACTTTAATACTATACACAGATATCAAATTAAAATAACTCCAAAATGTAACAAGAAGGCCAATATGAAGGGAAATTTACTTCGAAGTATTTTATCAGACACGTTTCTTTCGATGGAATATATACAAAGACACATACAGTAAGTATTAGTAGACTCGGTGACGAGCTAACAAACACAATGTTCTTGTTGATCAGGGCACTTCACACGAGATTCAAGTCATCTGTCTCCTCTACTTGTCCTGTTCCCCTTCCTCCAAAAATAATTTTCTCTCTCTTATGTATGCTTAATTGTTTTTTTTTTTTTCTGATGTCTTTTTTTTTAATTGTAATGACAAGGAAGGGACACGTAGAAGGGATAGGTGATTGCACCCCCTTGGGAATATGCTTCTGTTAAAATAGATCCTTGAGTGAAATGTAACTTGTACAATTAATGGTATTAGTTTATTAGTAATAGATATGTCGATGTAAACCACCTTAGTATAGTCATTGCTAAAAGACAAAGTATAATGGCATAAATCTGATCATAAATTATATTATAGGCCAAAATAAAGTAGGAGAATTAATACTTTTCCACCACGCACCACACCCCATAGTTAAGGAAGCATCAAAGAATATAACTCAAACTTCTAAGCCCCAAAAAGCCAAATGCACCTTAGAGGGAGAAGTCACCTAGTTCTCCCATTATTTGTACGGTTGTACCTATATAAATCACTCAACCAAAGCTAACTTTCTGACACAAAGTTCACTAGGCCATGAACATACCTTCGTTGCTCCTCCAAGCTCGACCCGCTTTAGCTCAAATGGGTCATAGCAAGAATCTAGGATTCACCAAAAAAATGTGGTTTCCATGGATAGCAAAAGTTGGATTCATGTTGTTGGCATTGTTAGCATGCAAAGTGACATCCGAGGACAAAGTTGAAGACCCTTTAAATGGTTCATTGTGCATTAGTGAATGTGCCACATGTCCAACAATATGTGCACCACCCCCTCCTTCACTTGCAACAACATACTCAAATCACCCTCCTCCTTCACCTTCACTTTCACCTATAACATCAGAATCTCACTCTCCCCCTCCTCCACAACACCATACACTATCAAATCCACCCCCTCCTCCACTCTTAACATCATACCCTTCTCCTCCTCAACTATTAACATCAAATCCACCTCCACCTCCTCTCTTAACATCATATTCACCACCCCCTCCACTCTTAATATCATACCCTCCCCCTCCTCCACTCCTAACATATCCTCCACCATCACTTATGCAATCACCACCATCTCAACCACTTATTCAACCTCCTCCATCACATTCTTCAGGGGCTTCTCCTCCACCACCTTTGAAATCCAACAACCCATCTTCCTCAGGTTCAGGACAGCCTACAGTTATTGTTGAACCACATAACTATCCCAATCCCTATTACTATTATTATGCCTCAACCGCATCTTCTTTTTCTATTCATGTTATACCTTTCTTCCTCTTACTTTTGTTCCTTCATGGGGTATTCTTTTGATGGTAAGGGATAAATAACTTGTATAGTGTACATGCAGCAATGTTATATAAAATGCTGGATTGTTTGTTGGGAAAATACAGGGTATATATCATATATGTAATTACTAGCAGTTAGGGGAAAGACTGTGTAAATTGTGTCAAATTCAACTTTATTACATGATTGGTTGATTTTTTTTTTTTTAACTATGTTAAGATAATCTGTTTAATTTTAGAAGGTTTAACCATGACACGAGGAAAAGCTTGTATTAATTTTATTATTTTTTGACCCTAGCTAGCTATGTGGGTTCTTCACAGAAGTTAAACACGTAATGTTAGGAAATACTTGTTCGTTTCGTTTGGGGCATGCAAACAGATAAAACAGTATTCAGATTTATATTACCCTTTCTTATTTATCTATCTAGCTAGAAAGAAAAAAAAAAATTACACGGATTAAAAAAATTTATAATAGTTAAATGCTAAATTTATTAATTTATTTTTTATTAAAGAGTTTTTTTTCTTAATTCTTAGAATAAAATAATATAATTTTTTTTATATAAAAAAATTTATTGATAGAAGAACAACAATTCATATTTGATAAATAGATAATTAAGAATATATATATATATATATATATATATATATATATATATATTACGATGACCACAGTAATAGTAATAACTAAAATTTATCCCAATAAGTAAAAAAAATAGAGTTAATATATACATGTACAGCTAGGTGAGTGTTATGTGAACCAACAATTATCGTGAAAAAATGATCTTTATAATACTAATTATTCAGTTCTTGATAACGATCATTAATAAAAAAAAATAGTTTAAATAGTAAGTACATTTGAGTTCAGTAATCGTTTTAACTTCCGAGATAAAAAAAATATTTGTGAAAAAGGTGGTTTAAATAGTTATTTTTAATTTTTATAAAATATGATATTAGAGTTTGAAGAGAGAAATTATAGTTAAATGTTCAAAAAATTATAAAATATATTTTTCCCTTTTAATTTGGGTGACTGTGCAAGGATTCTGCAAGAAACGCCATGTAAAAACTGGCTACTAACACGTGAGGATGATCTAGCAAGATTGTCAAAAGAGAAAGAAAAAGGCAAAATTAAATTTCAAAGGGAATGCTAAGTGCTAAGGACGAATTACCTAAATTCCTCTATATGGAATGGTTCAATCAGAATCATATATGGTGGCCAAGAAGTCAAAGATTGAGATTGGCATATGTACCCAAGTGGTCCCTTCTAGAATATGAATTCATCACACAGTATCTTATAAAGTATTCACCAGCTGTTCATTTTCAATTATCCCTTAACTTCTACGCCACCACTTCAACAACGACGAGTATTCTTGTGTAATGGTTTCCACTTCCTATTCCAATCATTAGACTTCAGTTATGTTGGAGGGTACCACGAAAACCCGAATCAAACAAACACTTTCTATCTAGGAAACTTTTCGAAAAGTTTAAAATTATTTTTTTTATCATGAAATAACTTTTCAACTTGTTCTAATAAACTTTATAGTTAAATTTATAACATAAATTCTCATATAAAAATATTATTTAATTAAGTTGTGTATTAAAAGACTAACATAACATGCACGCTTCCCTTGCGTAATTCGGCGGTGCATATTGGGTAATGAGTATAGTAACTCCTACATATGGAGGCAAGGCTGTGGTTTTGTTTCAACATTTATCTTCACCTACCACAACTCTTTAAGTACCTTAACATGCTGCTGATAATGACTTGTGGAGAGTGATGCACGTTGTTTCATATTGTAGATGAAGACCATTCTATGTTCCCTTTGATTCATCAATCACTTTTGATTTTGATGCCTCCTTGATATCTTTTCAAGTTCTTTAGGGAAAAGGTGTTACTATTTTCACAGTTCATACTGAAGTGTTTTGTACTCATTCCATTTGTTATTGATGATTGCGTAGTGTTTTCAACTTCAATTTGATTTTCTTCCCGTTTTCCTAACTAAGGAGTGCAAATTGTTTAGAATTTATTATAGAAAAACTGTTTTTAAAAAATAATTAGAAAGCTTTAAGGAGAGATGTTAAATGTTTATTAATTGATGGTCTTATGGCACCTTTAACAAAATTCAGCACTGAATAAACCCAACTTATTTTTTTTTATTAGACTCATTTTCTCATACTCTTCATACATTGAAATACAAACTTATTCTATTTTGTATCTTAGACAGGATGTTTTAAATTTCACTTGATACTCTAAATTTCTAACTAGGTAGGAAAATTATCTTATACATATTTGAATTAACTTAATTCTATTTTTTTAAAATTAGCATCAAAGCATTTCAAAAATATATTTTGTTTAGGTTTTAGTCCCTCTAATATATTAAATATTTGTACAAATGGGAAACAAGTGTTTCAGCATATTGATATAATAGTCAGAACTAAAATCATATTTTTAATATTATAAAAAAATATTTAATGTAGAAGAGTGAAAATTAAAATTGAAATAAATTGCATAGATGAAGATGTATTTAAACATTTCCATCTATAATCATTTTAAACAAATCCAAATTTAGTCTCAACACTTTATTCAAGTAAAATTTTATATTTTTTTTACTTAAACGAAAATATAAAATATACTGATTACACGATCCAAGACTAAATCCGCGTCCATACACACAGAAAAAGTGACAAGATTGGACCAGAATTAGAAATCATTGGCACGGCTGAGGTGTGTCCGTGTATGTCCTGTGATGATGGCCCCCGTTACATTTTAGAACTGCGAAATGATCACCGGCATCGGATTGTAATATCCCTTTCACTTTTTTAGGAATTTTTAATGGTAGAGAATTTTTAGCTACCTGTTTTAAATGATAATGGAGATAGACCGTAATCATCTTATGAATTTCAAGTTATAATTTTTGGAGAAAATAAGTAACATAGGTATTTTTGAAGCTTGTATCATTGAATCTATTAAGAAGATAAAAATTCTCTATCATTTTTTTGTGGTGTTTGTTTAGATGAAAGAATGGTCAGTACGAGTATAAGAAAAATACATATGAATTTGTTTAAAGTATTAGAACGTATTGTTATTTTCTATCTAGGTTATGATATAAGGGGCTCCTCTAAGAATTACAACCTGAAATTCACAAGATGATTACAGCCCAAGAAGAGACTTAATTAATTTGAGTCTTTGACAAATTCACCAAATGACTTTTGAAGTTTTCGATAAACTTTGCAAACAGCATTTGTTAAAGTTTCCCATCAAAAGCTACAAACAAAGAAGAATCTTTTTTCCATACTTCTTTAAAAAAATTATCTGGATTTATCATTGTTCTTTGTGCTCCCGTATCTATGTAAGCAATAGCTTTAATAGCATTTTTGAGACTAATTTAGTTTTGAAAAGTTTCCCATCAGCCGCTACAAACAAAGAGGAATCTTTTTTTACAGACTTCTTTGGGAAAAATGTCTAGATTTATCATTGTTTTTTGTGCTCCCGTATCCATGTAAGCAATAGCTTTAAGAGGATACAATTTTAAAGTTCAAATGAATAATTCTTCTTTTTCTACTCTTCTTGAGTTCAAAAACAAAATACCTTCTGAAAACATAATACATAAAAGTGCTTTATTACATAAAGTTGCTTTTTTAGAGATTCTTCAATCCTTGCAAAATATTATAAAAATAAAATTAATAATTTCTTAATATAGTAAGCTTAACGATAAAAAAAAGAAGCAAAAGAAGTATGTATTGTATAAAATTATATTTTTAGAGATAAATATACATTATAATTTAATCATTTTAACATAAATATTAAGTCAAAAATAAGTAATTATTTGAGCTAGTGACTGTTAGAGTTTTAATAATGATTTAAGAACACTGTTGCTATTGATTTAGATTTTTAAAGATAACATAAAATTATAAACATTTTTTTATCATCAAAATTTCAAGTTTTACAAATTTTTTTAAAAATATAAATATTTAAAATTAATTGCATATAATGTTAGAAATTTTCTTTTGATAAGGTTCTTAGGAAGGATAAAGGTTTTTTTTTTCAAGTATATTTTTTTAAGTATTTAATGCAATTAAATTTTTAGAATTACTAGTTAAGTTAAAATAATCCAACGTCAATTAATTCTAGTGTTAGTAATCAAATAATCTTAGAGTTGTGTGAATAAAAATACTTTAAAAAATTCATTTACGTTAAAATGAAACAGTGTAACATATATTAATCAATTAAAAAAATAAGAATATAGTATCATTTTAAAATATAATCATAAATAAAAAAATCAAACTGTCTCTTTTTAAAAAGGGAAATTAATGAACTGATCAAGTGGCTGGGAACTGATCAAGTGGCTGGATTCAACTCTAAAAATTAATAAACTGACGATAAACTGATGGAGAATCAGTCGAGCAAGCCATTCAAACTTGATAGAAAATGATGATGAACAATTTGTTTGAACTATATATTATTTTGTTGTTTATTCGATCTAAAAAAATTAGCTAACTAAAGGGTCAATATAATGTTCAAAGGTTTGCGTACGAAGTCTACGTATAGATTGTTATAATTTAGCCTATTATATAGATTTGTTATCATAATGCACTGCATATAATTTTATAACTTTTCCTTAATTTACTATTTAATATACTTTTAATGTTAAATATTCTATTTTAATTATTATAATACTAAATTTTTTAAAATTAATAAACAAAAGTTAAGTTTAGTATCTGAGGTGTTTTGATATTATTCTTTAATCAAGTATTAAAAAATTATTTTGATAAGTTGTGTAATAAAAAATACATTAAAATTTAATACTTGGTTAGTAAGGTAAAACTATTGCAGTTTACAAGCTATCAAATTACTAAAATAACATATTTAATAATATTTTTAGTTAAAAGTGAGTTTTATCAATCCAATTGTTAAATTAATTTTTTTATAAAATAAATTATCTTTATAAACTTTTACACAATTTAAAAAGTATTTGATATTTTATCATTTTATTTTATTTTAACGTATAATATATTATTAAAAGAGGAATTGAACATAATATTTTACTAAATTTGATACTTGATAATATATCATTTGATCCTATCCTAATTTTAATTAAAAAAAACATATAAAAAGTATTTAAGATATTGCATCTAAGTTTTATATATTTTTTAATTTATTTCATATAATTTACTAGCCTAAGGTGATGTATATGTGTGACACGGAGAAAGGGAGACTAGGTGGGACAAAGAGATAATTATATATCACTCTTATGGGGTGATCAGCTGTTGAATACCTCAAAGTCTTATGCTGGAACTATTTTTGCTGACTATATATTATATGAAATCAAATGCATCTTTCCAAATTATTTAAATGGTCATGCTTACAATATTAAAATTATAAAACATGCATATCATTAGAACTTGTGACCTACCATCACAAGGCGTGGGAAGTGTGCTAATTTTCCCTGTTAATGCGGGCATAAGCGTTACTGGGGAATGAGCATTTTGGATGAGCCTCCTTTTGATTTGAGGAAGAGTTTTAAAATGGTTCAACTTATAGACTCATTTGAATACACTTAAAAAAATTTGAGTGTTTGAGCATTAAATTTAAAGATTTGAATAAAGTTAGATTTTTAACTTTATCCAACAAAGTTTACTGCATCATAGTTAATGTATTTCAAAATATATAGTTAAATTGATAATTTAAATATTAAATGCATGACTATAATTTCTCATATAAGTAATGATTGAGTTACTTGTTAATATAAATCTCACAATAAATAAAAATATAAAAAATGTAATAATAAATATATTTGAAAAATTATATTTAAAAAAAAATTACCATGTTATATTTAAATGGTTAAGACTAAAGACCACTGAAAATAAGGCATATAGCTATTTTTCTCTCCTTATTTTGAAACGAACTTGCAGTGATTAATCACTTTGAAACTTGAAGGGGCAGCAAAATTGTCAAACACTAATTAAATGATTACCCCTACAAGCCGTTGTATGAAATCCATTTTCCAAATGATTACTTTTTGCTTTGCAATATTTTCCATGAGCGATAGAAGTGGTTGTGGGTTAGATTGATTGGTTCACCCTTTCTCTTTGACCTTCCTTGCCTTCATCTCTTTTTTTTTTTAATATATAGATTCAATTCCTTGGCTGTGTTGACTTACATGCATCTCATGGCATTATTACAATGCTATGGGTACAAATTCATTAGTCCAAGGTAATAGTAATTAATAATAATAAACAAAATGTGTAAGAGCAATCCTTAACTTGTAAATTCTAGAAGCTCTCCTTGATGATCACATTAAAAATTTAAAAGAAGAGTCTAATTGTCGGCTTGCTAATGTATGATCATGACATCCTAACAACAATAACCTATGAGCCTTACCTACCAAATACTGGGAATTATCAATTAGACCATAAAGATACTTAGCAATCCACATAGCCCTTTTCTTTTGTTACAATATAGCAGATGCCTACAATATATCCCACTATAAAACTTTTGTGTGCGACAACAAATTAGATAATGGAATTGTTGGTTTGGCACTAAAATTATGTTAGATTTCTTCATATTGCGATCTTCCCGGCGAATGTACATCAATTGCTAAACACAAAATTTAGTGGACGGCAAGAGATACACACATATGTGTGAGGGGGTTGGGGAAGGGAGAGTTTAGTGTAACATTGAAGTCAACAGGTTGGCAAGTTACTTGACCCATAATTAATTGAAGATATATATGACAATATTATAGTTATAATATTTATAAGTTACTAAAATAAAATAAAATAAATATTATTCATGCATATCGTATAACTCTAGCATCCACGTCTAGAAGTCAAGGAATCTCCCCACATATTTCTTCTAAGGTAGTAGGTGAAAATATGTACTTATAAATTCCTCATCTTTCACTTATTTTTTTTCCCAGCGGCATCAATCATTCCCATTTTGGTGTCGTCTTTCTCATAATTTAGAATCAAAAGTTACTTGTGAAAGAAAAATACATTACAAAGTTGTTGCACATATATACACCAATTTTCTAGATGACTACTAAGAAGATTACATGGAAGTCTGTTATCTTGATCTTAAGTTGTTACAAGGTTAAATGTCCCTTGGAGGAATCAGAGAAGCAGGTTTTAAAACAAGGTTCTTTGCAGAGGCTATGTCTATCAGATGTAAGCAATTCAAGCTCCACTCAGGCAATAGAGGATCTTTCAATTTCCCTTGTTGGCTCAAAACTTTATACATTCACACTTGAGGAGCTAAGGGAAGCAACACATAATTTCTCATGGAGTAATATGCTTGGTGAAGGTGGGTTTGGACCCGTGTACAAAGGTTTTGTTGATGACAAACTCAGGTCTGGTTTGAAAGCTCAAACTGTAGCTGTAAAAAGATTGGACTTGGATGGCTTGCAAGGTCATAGGGAGTGGCTGGTTAGCTTTCTTAAAGTGCCCTTTTACACACACTCTCCATCTATTTGTTTGTAACATATCAAATTTAAGATTGACTTAGTTCTTTTGTTTGAATAGATACTAATGGAACACCAGTATCTGAAAAAAACTGTTTTTTTGAACATGTTTTCTTTTCTAGGCAGAGATTATATTTCTTGGACAGCTCAGGCATCCACATCTTGTCAAGTTAATTGGGTACTGTTATGAGGATGAACACAGACTTTTGGTGTATGAATGCATGCCAAGAGGCAGCTTGGAGGATCAACTCTTCAGAAGTATGTTTCTTTCCTTACTTCAACTTATCCTCCTTTTCTCACTCTTTCCTCTAAAGGGTGAGAAAAGATGTGGTCACAACTCACTTGGTTTTTCCTTTTTTGGGTACATAAAGCTCCTTAGGCCTTTCATTTCTGTCTTTCACTTTTTGTTTGTGATTTTGAGTGTGTATGGATATACAACTTAACTGAACACATTCATTAAGCTCTCTTCAAATGATTTTTGTCATAAATATAACTATGAAACTCACTGGAATAAGTTGAAAACAACTTATTTTTATAAGCTATACCAAAATATTTATTGAATAACTTAAAAAAAAACTAGTCATAAGTTGTTCATAAGCTTTTTCAAATGGGCCCTATATCAATAGTAACTCACTCAAAGTCAAACCTAAACAGAAGATCAAGCTAGATGATGATGATGATCAAATGATTTGGATGTTCTGATCTATGTTGTCAAGAACACCTAATTGTTTCATATCTGTTTATTTTCTTTGACCCCTCATCCTAAAACAAGAAAATGGATTCTTAGTTCCTTACCTATTATAACCTTAAGGCCTGCTTCTTTTGTTCTAATATAAATACAAGCAGGATACTCAGCTGCTATGCCATGGTCAACCAGGATGAAAATTGCATTAGGAGCAGCCAAGGGCCTGGCCTTCCTTCACGAAGCAGATCAACCTGTAATATATAGGGATTTCAAAGCTTCAAACATCTTACTAGACTCAGTAAGTTCTCTGCTTCTGATTTTCCCTTTCTGTTCTCTGCATGTGCACCTCTTTTGAAATATCATGTTGCATCTCCTACACTCCTACATCAACTTCCCAAGTTATATATTAAGAAATTTACTTGAACTCTTTTCTCTCTCCAAATCTAGGATTTCACAGCTAAACTCTCAGATTTTGGTCTAGCTAAGGATGGCCCTGAAGGGAAAGACACACATGTGACAACACGCATAATGGGAACACAAGGCTATGCTGCTCCTGAATACATCATGACAGGTATAAACTACCATTCAAAATGATAACCAAGTTTCTAGCATGATCCATGATGGCACATAAAAATTAAAGTATGTTAGAAGCCTCATTAAAAACTTTTCATAATAGTACTGGCAAATTAAATTGAACTTAGGGCTTTCATATTACTAGAAACATACCCTTATTTTGTCACTAATTTCATTTAATTTCTGAGGTCCAAAATCACAAAAGAAGTTAAAATTTTCTCACTAGACAAGTCTCACTTCGGTCACTGTGATATTTGATGATGAAGCAAACTCATTCCTTGATTATATAGGTCACCTCACAACAAAGAGTGATGTGTATAGCTATGGAGTGGTTCTGTTGGAATTGCTCACAGGAAGACGCGTAGTCAATAAGTCGCGGTCTAATGGAGGGAAGAGCTTGGTGGAATGGGCAAGGCCTTTGTTGAGAGATCAAAAGAAGCTTTATGGTATCATAGACAGTAGATTGGAAGGACAATTTCCTACGAAAGGAGCCATGAAAGTTGCTATGTTGGCCTTCAAATGCTTGAGTCACCACCCAAATCCAAGGCCCTCTATGAGTGATGTGGTGAAGGTGTTGGAGCCACTTCAAGACTTCGATGATGTTTTCATTGGACCATTTGTGTATGTTGCCGTAAGTGAAAACGGTGACAAAGATAAAATATAGCAGCAGCACTAAAAAAATATAGCAGATAGCAAAAGGCAAAGAAAAGCAAAAAAAGAAAGTGGTGTGTTATTTCAATTTGTAAGGGACAGCTTGATCTTCACAATCATGAAGCAAGATGCAAGTGGTAACTTAGTTTTCTATGGTGTGATTATATACACAACAATGTACAAACACTTGAAACTCCAGAATATTCAAACTCAATTTTATTCACATATGATGTATTTGAAAAAATTATTGTTGGATGTGTTTAGAGAAGATTTTGGATTTCAAGTCATAGATTAGCGAAAGTGAAAAAAAAAATTCATTAGGTCAGTATACTGTAATATACACACGTTATTATCAGTATCATAGTATGGCAATTTTTAGATGAGTAAAAAATATTCATGAATCTTAGATCTTCATTGTTAACGTTATCACGGTTGAAATAAGAAATTTAATTAATAAACTAATAATATGTGATATGGTATATTAACAATAACATATTATTATTAGTCACTAGTCAGTTAAACAATTTATGTATCTTGTTAATGTATATTTGAATTATTGTTATTGTTAAAAAAAAGTTTAAATTACTTAGGATAACAGCATATAATCTATTCTTATTATAAGATAAATTATCATGATTTTAAAACACCAAATCCAAAATAGATTAACGTGTGTTTGAATATATGTCAAATATACTTTAACATAAATAAATTTTAACGTTACAAATTATAATTTTCACATTAAAACATGCTTTAAAGTAATATTATTAAATGACAGTGATGAGTTTTTTACTTTCAACAAAATTTTCAATTGTATATATATAGAGCGCTTATTACAAGTATTATTTTCAATCAAATAATAATAGTCATGATGTAAACATACATAGATAAATCTTAATACATATCTTAAGGTTATGTTATTTAGATGTCTTTTCTATTACACTAAACGATATTTTCTTGGCATAAAAAATATTAGACATTGTCCCCGCAACATAATTTGTTAATTAGTGGCAACACTTCAGTTAAAACAAACAAATTGGCGTAACTCAAATGGTTTGAAAGTAAGTGCAGGCCAGGCCAGGACCAGTTGTGACTGGTACCACCGTGGAATCAAAGAATATCTCAATAGGATCTTCAGTATGGGAAGGAATAAAATTAAGACCTTTCATTATATGTGTTTTTATATTGCTTTTCAATTATGAAGGTCGAACTTAGTTATCTAAATGAAAATTTAATTTTAAATTTATATTAATGTATTTATAATACTTCCTTTTAAGTTTTGTCCGTGAGGATTATGCATTACTTCTGTCTTTTATGTATGATTCTTTGTACCATAACCGCACTGGGATGCAATGATTCACAAAACAAAGGCAATGGACAAAGTTTAAAATTAAATTTACGATGACATCATATTTTCTATCGTTACTGTTCATAAAAATTCAATAATTTTATTTTATATATACTTTTTTTTATCTCAAATATTACATTTAGTTATTCTTTAATATTACAAGCATTAATTAATTTTTATTTTAAAATTTTATTATTGTCTCTAAAATTGTTAACATAAATCATTTTATTTTAGGTATTAAAATAATTATTACTTGATGATTTTAAAGACTATAAAATATAGGTTTTATAAATTTAACAACTAAATTTATTTATGCATATTATTTTAAAAACTAATTTAATATATTATTCTTTTCATTTACATTATTTTTTTTATTTTTCAAAAACCAAGCTAATGTTTACATAACAAATTATGCTACTTTTAAATTATTATTTTTCATTAACAAATATAAGAAAATATGCATTAAAAAATCACACTCTTTCCTAATATATATATATATATATATATATAACTTTCTTATATGTTAAATAAAAAAATGAAATATATTTTACATTCTCGAAACGTTAAATACATTCATACTTTTATTTATTTTATATATAAAAATTAATAAAATAAACAATGAAAGAATATATCATTACTCTTTTCTAAACAAAGTACCAAAGTTGGGTGATTTTGGGAGAGAAAAAGTACCATTACGCTTCCAAAAATCACAATCAATAGCTGAAAAACCTTTTATTTTTAATTTCTTATCTCACAAAAATAAAATTGAAAAACCGTTTCACTTTCACCATCTTCCTCCTTCGCCATCCTCAGTGAGTTAGATTAGAACTGAGAATCAAGGGATCGGCAATCGCCAACTAGTTCCGTGAAATGGCGACCTCCGTCGCCGCCGCCGGCACTTTAACGGCGCACGAACGCCGGATTCTTACGGCGGTGAACGCCGGAGCGTCGAGCCTTTCGTTGGCTGGTTCCAGCTTCATTGTACTCTGCTATCTCCTCTTCAAGGAGCTTCGCAAGTTCTCCTTCAAGCTCGTTTTCTACCTCGCTCTCTCTGTATGCATCTTTTTCTCTCTTTCCAGTTCCTCTTTGTCAGATCTAAAACCCTGCTTTTCCTCTCTATTTTTAACGTTGCTTAAATTTTGATTCGTTAGTTTAGTAACACTTCGCACGATTCGCCAAAACGACATGATTAAACGCGCTTTGGCTTTTTTCAATTGAATTTACCACTGGTCGATTTCACACTTTGTTGTTGTTTTTATCTAATTGCTTAATTTTCTACTCGTGCATCTAGTTGCCGCTTCTCATTGACGCAATCAATCAAATCGGTTTTGGAACGAATTTATTTACGAAGAATTAAATAAATTTGCTGAACTTGTAATTCTCAGTAACACTAGAATTAGGAGCGTAATGATCGAGAATCTTAGCTAAGGTCGCACGTACTTTGTGATAAAGTAGGAGTCTAAATATCCTGTAGTGTGTTTAAGAATTGTGCTAGTAATCATAGTAAGCTTTTCCATGCAATGTATGTGTTGTAATCCTAGTATGTTTCTCCATGCAATGTATGTGTTGTAAAGTTATTACCAGCTTGTTATTGACTTAAATTGCGTTTGTAAAAACTACCTTCTGTTGATGAATCCTGTTAGATTGCTACTAAACTTCTAATTTAAGTAACTAACTTTTGTAACCTTTTTACCTTTGGGCTTTGACCACTTTAGTTTGTATTTGTAATTCTGTTATACAATTGAGATTTGAGAAGTAGGTCATCTGGCATTTCAGGAACCATGTCTGTTTCTTTGCATTGGTTATGCCTCGTCTTCTTATGAGCCACAATGCTCTTTTAATGACGTTTTTGCCGATTGCAGGATATGCTTTGCAGTTTCTTCAGCATAATAGGGTATACCTATTAGATCTAGAGAAATCTTCAAATGTATTTATCAACTAAAGTTGTTCATCATGTGGTTGATACAAGTTTCAATTTGATACAGGGACCCGTCCAAAGGTTTCTTTTGTTATGCTCAGGGTTATAGCACACATTTCTTTTGTGTGGCTTCTTTTCTATGGACCACGACAATTGCCTTTACCTTGCATCGTACTGTTGTGAAGCACAAAACAGATGTTGAAGATTTGGAGGCCATGTTTCACTTGTATGTGTGGGGTATGCATCTAAATCAACTTTTAATATTCTAGCTTTGAGAAATGGCCTATTTTATAATAGTCATCACATTTCCTAACTTCCCATGACTTTTAATCTGAAAATGACTTTTTAGAGAAAGTTGATGCTAATGGAATGGCTTCCGATCTCGGTTATTGGGTTATATACTAATAATAGTAGTAGGACTTCCTACTTTGGCCAAAGACCAACCCTTTCATTAGCAACGTACATTGTGGAGAGATCATTTGACATAACTTTACTTTTGACAGGTACTTCCCTCGTTATGACAGTTATTCGTTCCTTTGGCAATGACCATAGACATTTTGGTGCATGGTGCTGGACTCAAACAGGTCGCACTGGGAAGGTAAATTGCAGTAGGAGTATAGGCTACAGTCTACACATTTCATGTAATTCCAGAAAATTTCTTTATTCCCAACTTGTTTCTTTTCTTTTACAGGTGGTATACAATGGGTGTTTTTAGTTCACTTAAAGAGGAACCTGCTGTACACAAGCAGTTTCTCCCCTTTTAAATCGAAAAATTGAATGTAAATTGACTATATTTGTATTTTTTATTAGTTTCTTTATAAGGTATGGAAATTTTTATCCGTCACAGTATGTGGGAGGGGGGGAGGGGGGGGGCGCGATTGTGGGCTTTTTAATAAATATGTAATGGAAATTTGTCATTCCTTTTAAATTGTAGTAAAAATATAACATTAGGCATCTCAGGAAAGGTAACACTTTTGTTAGTGTCTAGTATGCTTACTTTACTGCATTTTTATATGTATCATGTTTATCTGAATAGTTTAGTAATCTTTCTTTTTCCTCTATAAGCAAATTCCTTTTTTCGTGCAGGCAGTTCATTTCGTAACATTTTACACGCCACTCTGGGGTGCTATTCTGTATAATGGGTTTACGTACTTGCAAGTAATACGAATGCTGAATAATGCAACCCGTGTATGTATCTAATTTGGCTGATTCTTTCTCAAACAAACTACAAATTGCTTGTTTAGGCACCTTTTGAGACCTTATTTACCTGTTTCTTGGTAAATTTCAGATGGCAGTTGGTATGTCAGGCCAAGCTTATGTGTCAGATACAAGAGATAACATGAGGGTATGAGGGTATCATATACTATTATCTCCAAGTTCTTTGATTTCACTTCTGATGAAAGTATTATTACATGTTGCAACTACATTCCATTGAACTATACTTAAGTATTTTCTGTTTTACATTGCAGGCTCTGAATCGTTGGGGATACTATCCACTAATTCTGATTGGATCATGGGCTTTTGGCACCATTAACCGTGTTCATGATTTTTTTGAACCCAACCATAAGCTCTTTTGGCTCTCACTTCTTGATGTTGGGACAGCTGCTCTTATGGTATCAACGATTAACTGTACTATTTTCAGCTTTATTTTCTATTCACTGAATGTTCTATAAGTTACCAGGCGACTCAAGATGATTGCCATTTATCTATAAATCCGCATTATAAACTTCTGTTAGTTCCACTAATCTTCTGGCACCCAGTTGTGAGCTTTTTACTTTCTTGAACAATCAAACTTTTATTGTCATCCCTACCAATATGTTAATGACAGAATAAAATGCATTATCTAACTTATAAAACAGACACATCTAAAATAACTGAGATTTGGTAATTTTATGCATTTGAATTGATACGGTGTGAAAATCTGGGTACAACTCATTCAAAATTGCTATTTCAACATCTTTAAACCTAAATGACAATAATTCATTTAAACATCACATGGTTTACACTGCCTTATATATTAGCAAGAGTATAATTCTGATTTTACTGGTTTATAGAAGGTATCTTCTGGTGTTTGGTTACCAAACCACTATTGGTGCAATTAGTTAAATGTGTTTTTCAAGGTTATGTACTGCTTTGGTATAGTTCCAATTTAAACTGCATGTTGTAATTGCTCAATTATTTTACTTTGGGATAACATATGAAAAATAGGAGGTTATTTTTTACAATTTAAATGCAAGTATATGTCAGTGTCACATTTGTTTTGGAGAGGAGGTTAAGACTTTTAGCCTTACTTCAACCGTAGCATAATTGTAAGTTAATCAATACTATGGAAAGTTCTCCGATTATAACTGGCACACACAATATTTGTAAACTTATAATAAGGGCATTGCCTCATATCTCTGCAGTTAATCACTTTCCATTTTGCTGGACTGTTCTATGCTTTTCCAGTAAATGTAATTGGCATCCCTTCATACAGATTTGATGTCACGTGAAGAGTGAATCAAATTCAACACTTGAAAAGTAGAAAAGTACTATTACGGCATCTTGCTAAGCTTTGTCATGTTGTCTACTTATTGCAGGGACTCTTTAACTCAATTGCTTATGGTCTAAATTCTTCTGTTCGTCGGGCAATTTGTGAAAGACTGGACAAGTAAGTACTGATTCTATTCTGTCTTCTTTGAGAGATTTCAATAAAAAATTTTCATCTCTCGTTTGACTCTCAAGGTCAATCTAAGTATAATATTTTCATCTCCTATTCTGAATTTAACTTGTGCACTTTTGTCATCAATCTTATTGTGTTAGCTTTACTGCCTTAGCTTTTTTGTGTCTACGTGTCTTGCCCATGTCTCTACCCTGCATGATTTGTATTGTAGCTTAATACTTACTCAGCCACCCTTGTTTTCTCCCTATTCTCATAACCTCATCTTCTCCAGGCTACTCAGCCAATATGTTGGATGTTTTACTATCACATTGAAAAAGTATAATTAGGTTGCTTATCATCTTATTATTTAAAAATTTATAGGCAAGTATATGGTGCACAGTACACCCACATTTGGTGCACTTGTGCAGCACATAACATAGCCCATTTCCTAGCTATTCTTTAAGTGAATGACTGATATACAAGGAGGTTTGTATCCTCTTCTGGTGGCCATGCATGCAACCTTTTTGGTGCTACCATCACACCTTCATCACCTTTGTTCAAAATCAATCCTCATGGGTGACATTTATTCTTTGATTTATTATAGTACTATATTCTTTATTAACTTTTGAACCAATTAATATATTTTTACTAAATTTCTTATGCCAAATCCTGTCGCATTCCTCATTCAGTCTTTTGACTCCATCAGTCTCAGTCCTTTTTAAATTGATTTAATTTCCATCAAGAGTATTAATTCTTTAAAATATGTTTTTGTATTTAATGTTAGATGAATTGGGTAACAACTGTAGCATGCAAACACCATCCATATATTCACATTTTCACACCAGAAAACATCTTTTTTTTAAAATCCCCTGAAAACATCTTAGACTAAGCAAGGACATATAAAAATGCAAAAGAAATAAAACGTAAGAACATTGTACAGTTAAACAAAACACCAATGAATCAGTTCCAAAAAATTGTGGGAAAGCATTAAAAACTGAAAAAGAAAAGGGAGATCTCTCAAAATTAATGGTCATAAACTTTGCTATTTTAGACAGCTTATAGAGCAAGTATATACGTTTCATATCCCAATAAATTTGTCATTATTCATGTCCAATAAATGATCTGTAATTTTTTTTAATAAACGGTAGGTAATAGATTAACAAAACCAAAAGTTGTGGGAAAACATTGAAGTAACATAATCTCATATAATTGTGAAACATTCATTTTCACACTAGAAAGCATATTCCTAAACTAAGCAAGAATGCAAAAAATATTCAAAAAATAATTATGAAAGTACTTGCAACCTCTAGCATAAAAAAATGTTTATATGCTTCTCAGCAAATTCTCTGCTTCAGAACCGAGGTTCACTGAATGGTTTACAATACATTAATGAAACAAAATAAGTTTTGGAATTAGTTCAAAAACATAGAAAAAGTGGAAAGAAGAAAGATCTCTCATGCTTTAAAATAAAAAATAAGGAATTTGATTTATTTCTTAGAGCCAATATTTGAAGTATTTCATAATGTGAAACATTTTCCATTAGTGGGAATGTGACACTTGTCAAATTTGTTGTAGGATCATCTACTCTATATATATAGTCTTCATTTAAAAAACGAGGCAGAGACTTGAAACCTTGCCTTGAGCTTCGTTCAGTTCCCTCATCTTACATTCTTCAGTTGCTTTGATGAGACAAAGGTGAAGAGTGTCAATGAAGGTGTGTTTGGGCATAGGAAGTCCATATAGGGAACCAATAGAAGGCAATGGCAATTATTTTAGTTAAAGGAATTTAAGGTATGGTGGGAGTAGAAAGTATGCTGTTATTGGCTACATGGGTTAAGAACCTTCTTATAATGCGTAGCCGTCCATTTACACAATTCTTATCCGACAGGTTATTTCATGTCTTGAACCAATGCTTTGAAATTATGTGGGTGCACCATAGACTTTGCAGAATCAACTTGGTAAATTAACAGTTATTAGTCTATTGATGAGCACTTAATTTGGGGTTAGTTGGTGCAGAAGGTCCAAAATCGATGATGTTCTTGTTTCCTTTTTCAATCTTATAGAAAGTGACGTTTATTATTTACTCAATTTTACCACAATTAGTTGTAGATGCTTCTTTGTTCTTGCTTTTTACAAAACATTTCATTTAAAACATATAACCAGATTTGCTTCTCTTTATTCTTTTATTTTTTTATGGCAGGTTCTGGCCTGAGAGACTAAACAGATGGCTCCCTAACAATTTTAAGTACAAGAACCTACAGCAAGAAAGTGAATTAGTTTTGTTCAAGACTGAAGACCAATAATAGTGAATGGACAGAATCTGTGATCCCCCATGCCATGTGACATTTTTTTCCTAGTTTACTGAGATGCTGTTTTCAAAGACAACGGAGGATCTATGAGCAGCATGATTCCAGGTTATTTGTTGTTCTGCTCCTTCAGATATGTGAATCGTGGCATTCACTCACTGAATTTTATAGTGATGGTGATCCTTGTCAAACAGATCAGAGGATAGACCAATTGATGTGGAATCTGTATTTGGAAGCTGTTATTATCCTCTAATTGATGACCACTTGTGAGTGCAGAAAGTGCTTTTATCTTTTCCCCAAAAGGCTCGTCTCTCCCTGTGATTCATCTTTAACAACTCTCAACTTTAAACATTGCTGTATGACCCCCTGTCCCCCTGTATCAATTCGTAATTTCTGCAACCAAATGTTTTCTCAGTTTTATAGGTTAGGTGCACTTTCAGATTTTTACAAATTACTAAACAATTTCGCCCTTAATTTGCAGTGTATGTGGTTCTTTTCCAGCAATAAAAGTACTTCAGTGTGAAATACACATGCCCATTATCGTTTTACTCTATTCTTTGTTCATCTTTAGCCCCCTTGATTCATCCTGTAACTTATAATAAGTAAATTGAAGCCCATTAGATTGTATCCAGAGAATGGGAGGAACCTCTCCTTAAGTTGAAGCTGGCCTTCCTCCAACGATAGAAGAGGATCCTCAAAACTAGGTGAAATAACAATTTAAATTATCTTGGTTAATGTTGGATGTGGTTCTTTGGCAGTGTACATTTTGGGAATTCTTCACTGATCTTCCATGGCATTACGATATAAAATGGGGGTTTTTTTTACAGGGTAATCCACTTTCTTTTTGCGTTTCATGACCTAACCAGAACACATTCCTGACGCTCCCAGCTGCGTTTGGCGCTTGCCCTACCTCTTTGATAAGGACAAAAACTATCAATCAAAATTTGTGTTTCAGTTTGATAAACAGTCTATATTTAATATCATTGCAAATTATAAAGAAATTTTAATTAATAAAAAGTAAAAAATAAAGAACTGCACTAAATTTAGTGGTTATGGCTGGCCAACTGACTGAAATTTAAGCGTACAAACAACTTTTGTTAGCAAGACGCACGTTCTAATGTAAAATAAGTTGTTGAGATTTATTAAGATGCACAAATAACATTTAATAATTTTAAACAAGTGGGTCTTAAGTCCTACGAAAAATAAAATTGTTTCGGCCATTAATTTTAATGATGATCCATTACAATTAGTACTTTTGCCAAGTGATGTGTCATTAGTTCATATCTCTATACAGACACTTGTTCGGCACTTCTCTTCTGAAAAGAGGGCCCGCTTCGAGCATGAAGATTGCAGCACCCTTTTATCACTTTGCAGTAGTTAAACTTCTGTGTTGCAAGTGAAACGTCTTCTACATCTGAGAATTTCCAAGAATTTGTACAACAGCAGAGCATGATGCACCATATGATGGTCATTATTCACATTTCTAGAAGGAAACACCCCTTTCTCAATTCTCATTCCAGTCCATTTCTTATTACAAGGAAATATAACATTCATTCTTATCCACCTTCGAAAGTTGGCTTGCAAACTAAGCTAAGGGCAACAATGACATGATAGATAAAGAAATTTATATTTTTTATTAAACAATAATCTAAGTAATTGGTTTTGGTTGTAGATCTCATTAGTTAAAATTGTATCTTTTTTCTTTAACATAATCATACCATGTTTACTCAATTACATGTCATCCAAATCTGCCAAAAAAACAAAACAAAAGGCAATTCCTATTTTCAACAATATTTCCCACCCCAAAACGACACCAAGAATCCGAATTGAAAGCTCCAATTCACAGGACAACAAACCAATTCACAATTACATAAAACAAGTTGCAAGCCCTAAGCGCAGGCACAAGAATTAGCAACGTCAATAGCAGAATCTTCGCCCTCATTCCTAAAGAAGAAGTAACCGAGAGAGAGGCCCAAAACAATGGCCAAAAAAACCCCTCCGTTGAAGGACATGATAGCCAACATCAACAAATACCCAATCGCCGAATTCACACCGAACAGAACCGCTTCCGCTAACTTAACTCCCAACCTCGCCTTATCTCCGGCTACATTCCACCGCAGAAGAGAGGTCCGAATCTCCGGCGAGGCCCTCCTCTCGCCGGCGAAGATCTTGAGGCGAATCCGGCGATTCTCAAGATACTGATAGAAAGCAGCAACTACGAGACACGCGAGTAGACTCAGCACGTAACTCGTTCCCGAATCGGTCTTCCATGAATCAATGAGGAGGGTAAATTTTTTGCCCCAATAGAAGGTCATGTGCATCATTTTTGTTCTTGAAAATTATCTGAGAAATTCCGAGGCTTTTCGATTTTATTTTAATTTATTTTCAGTTCTAACAACTCCCAGTGGTTCCCTTCTTTGTACTTTTGTGCTGTACTTGTTACGATGAGTGATGGTTGGAACTCGAAAAATACCCTCATACTTTATTTTATTTACCCTTTTGCCTTCTCTTTACTTGATGCACCGTGCCTGTTTTTGGGGTTTCGTTACTTCAATCCTTTCAAGGGTATTCATGGGATTTCATACCGTGTCGTACATCTCATGATTCTATTCTTCTTTTAGTTAGAATTGTACAAGTGAACAAGATTAAGGAAGGGAAAAACTTTTGGGTGCTATTTTTACTATTTTTATTTTTTAATTAAATTAATATTTTATTTTGATAAACAGTAAATATTTAGGCTTTTTTTATTTGTATGATTTTTTTAATTAAAAATATGGTTTTTTTAACCAAATTACATATAGTTTTTTTTTTTTAAATTATCTTCGGCGACTTTAGCCAAAAATCATTAATAGTGATTTTTTTTACTACCTTTATGTATGTTTTAATATTTTAATATTATTTTAAAAATCGTTAGCAACTTTTAATTTTTTTAATATTTTTTAAAAAATTGTTGATTTTTAACATTTTATCACTTTTTTTATCTTTTATTTTTAAATTCATGTATTTACAATGACAATTTTTAAACTGATTTTTTCGTAATTTTTTAAAAAATATCATATTTTAATATATATATATAATTTATAAAAATATATAAAAAAAAATCCAAATATTTAAGATTGTTGTACAAAATGCATATAATTGTCCTTTTGCTTAAAGGATAAATCTAATTTAAGTTATAATTATTTATTATAAGGTTTACGATTGAATTTGTGTTAATATATGTTATATAAACTGTAAAGCTATTCTTTTAACCTTTTAAAATACAACATATAAGTTTGTAGCCCAATTCCTACCATTTTCCTTTTTCTACCATTGAATACAGTTTTCGTTCATAATATTTGCTAAATTATATTATATAAAAGTGGATAATTAAAATGTATAAAATAGATCCGTGAAAAGTTTATTCACATACACATTATTAATCTTTGATGAAAGAGTAAAGAGTGTTGTCATGACTTAACATACAAATACTAATGTTAGTGTCAAAATAGACAACTTTTTTTTTTACAATATTTGCATTTGAAAAAATAACTCTATCCAATAATAATTGTTATCAATTAGATAATATCTTTACATTACAACACCAAATATGGAGTAAGAATCGGTAGTTCTTCAAATTTTTATGGTCGAATAGTTACTTTTAATTCTTGACTTTTTTTTTTAATCGTTTGTTGCTTTTTGATGGTTGAATAAATTTAAAATAAGATTTTAGTTATTGAGACTGTATGGACTGCTTCCTTTAGCTTTGAAAATTTATAAATTAAGACGTTAGTTCATGTGATTAAAGAACATATATCATTTTTGTTACTGACATTGATTAATGGATGCAGATCCTCTTAATTGAAAAATTAAATGACAAATTTAATTAAATCAATTTAGACCATTCGTTATTTGTTAAAAGAAATCAACGGCTGGTATTAAAAACATATAAAACTATTTTATTTTGTAATGTTGAATATGTTTCTTCAATTATTTGCTTTACTTTTCACTTCTTGCAGTATTGTTCCACAATTTATCTCCAAAACCACTATCTCTATTTTATTTAACCATCAAGCATGATGCTGAACACCAGAAAACTCAAAGTAGTACCATATCTAAAAATAAGTATTGTATTTACCTCAATATTAGTTATAGTTATTGGGATTGGATTTTATCAGCTACTTATGCTAGTCCTCAAGAGAATCTAAAAGCTGAATACTGAAAATTATTAATTGATTTTAGTGCCTTTATTTCTAAGCCCTGGTGTCTTGCTAGAGACTTCAACTTTATTCTTACCATCATGAAAAAGTAGGGGGTCGACCTGCTAATTTGAACCTTGTTGAGTAATTTGCTGCTTGTCTGGATACCCTTTCACCTGGCACAAAGGTAATCTTAAAGAAAGCATTAATAGAGTTGTTGCTAATGACTCTCGGTCTCTCGGAGGTCGTTGTTCCAAAAGATTTATGTCATCCATCTCTCTCTCTTAAAATCTGACCGTCATGGACTTTGGCTAAAAATTAGGAATAAGGAGGCTTTTGTTTCATATAAAAAACCCTTCAAATTTCTAGCTCTGTGGGTTCAACATATTGGCTTTGCCAACCAAGTTAAGAATTCTTGGATTTCTTCTAGGTCTTGGAATGAGAATATAGAATGTTTCCAAAAAAACATTTTTGATTGGAACATAAACACCTTTGGTAATATTTTTAAAAGAAAGAGGTGTTTATTAAATAGAATTAGGGGTATATCCCAGAAGCTGGCTAATAATGAGAACCCATTTCTGAATAATCTTATGAAATCATTATGGTTTGAATATCAGAAAATTCTTGACCAAGAGGAATTATTTTGGTTCCATCACTATAAATTCAGTTGGCTAAAGTTGGAGATAGGAACAATAATTTTTTCCACAAAGCTGTTTTTATTCGTAGGCAACAAAGTCTTACTGAAACTCTAAGAGATGATTTCAGTAATTGGGAATATGATCCCCATAAACTCCGGTCCTTTACTGTTTAGTATTTTAAAAATATTTTCTTTGACCCTTGCCCTAATAGCCCTCCCTCAGTACTGTTTCTTCTTTTCCTCTCTTAAAAGATTATGATATGCCTGTTTGGAATGTTGATTTGACTATGCAAGAAATAAAATTTGCCTTATTTAGTATAGGGAGTCTGAAGTCCCCTGGTCTTGATGGTATCCATGCTTTATTCTTAAAAAATCAGTGGGGTTTTTTAGCACTTTTAATTTTCAGCTTTGTTTCAAATATTTTCAGTAACCCCTCTAAGATTGTTGAGGTTAATGCCACTCTTATAGCTCTTATCCCTAAAATTGATCATCCTGAGCACCTTAAAAATTTTAGACCCATCTCCTTATGTAATGTTAGTTACAAAATAATAACAAAAATTCTTGCTAATAGAATTAGAGGTTCCGTGTCTGACTTAATCTCTGAAAATCAATCTAACTTTATCCCTGTAAGACAGGGTATTGATAACACTTTAGTCCTCTAAGAGTTGATTCATTCTTTTAATAAATTAATTAGGAAAAATAGTTATATGATGATTAAATTGAATCTGGAAAAAGCATATGATAGGCTCAGATGGACCTTCATAAAAGACACAATAGAGCAAATTGGTCTTAATCAGAAATTAGTTGATCTTATTTATAAGTGTATTTCCACATCTTTTATGTCTATTATTTGGAATAATTACCATACTAATGAGTTTAATCCTAATAGGAGAATTAGACAGGGGGACCCTATCTTTTGTTCTTTGCATAGAAAGGGTTGCCCACCTTATTCATGATAAAATTAATAGTGGGGACTGGACTCCTTTCTCCTTTAAGAACAAGGGTCCCAAAATTTTTCATATTTTTTTTGCCGATGACATCATTCTTATTGCCAAAGCCGATGTCCATAATGTTGAGGTGATTAATTATGTATTAGGTGAATTTTGCTCTGCTTTTGGTCTATCTGTGAATAAGGATAAGTCATTAATTTTTTTCTCTAAAAAGTGTGATCCTTCCTTGACACAGGAAATTAGTCTCAATTTAGGTATTAGAAAATTTACCTAGTTTGGTAAATATCTGGCTTTTCCTTTCAATCATCTTTCCCCTTTTACACAGGATTTTGCTTTTCTAATTGATAAGGTTAGAAAAAAGCTCTCTCTCTGAAAAATGAACACTTTATCTATGGTTGGCAGAATAACTCTTACTCAAGCTTCCATAATGAGTATTCCAGCCTACTTCATGCAAGTCATGCTTATTCCTAAGACTGTGTGTAAAAATATAGATACTATTTATAAAAATTCATTTGGGGGTTTTTAGGTAGTAAAAAATGTCATTTAATTGGCTGGGACTATTGATGAGAATCAAGGAAGGTCCATTGAAGACAAAAACTTGAAGGCATTGGAAGGACTTCAAGGACCAATGACAAGGGTAAGGGCAAAAAGAATAAATGGAGACTTAGAAAAGATTGTTGCCGTCTTATTTGAAAGGGAGCTCAATTTAGAGTTAGAAAAGTCCAAGATGGTCAATTACTTATGCTTAAAGGATTTAAATTCTAATGAGTTTTATTAGGTTTTATTATTATGTTTAGTTTATTTATTTTAATATTAGTCATTACTTATTTTGAGTTTTTTTTAGGATAAAATCTTGTTATTTTATTTAGTTTATTTAAATTTAGGCTTGTTGGTACAAGAAGCCCATTAAGGTTTGCGTTAGTATTAATTTACAAGCATTAGACATATATAAGCTCTTATAAACACACTTTTAATCAGTTTTGAATATAATATGAGATTGAACACTCTTGTGAGAGCGTGTGACTCTAGGTTCTTGAGTGAGCCAATTTTCTTTGATATTATCAAGAGGCCAAGACTCTTGTGGCAATCGTTTCTTGGCTTATCAATCTTGCGATTGTGACGGCATTTTCCATCTCTATTCAATTTTTACTTTTTATTAATTTTTGTCTTATTTTAATTCCTATTTGTGCCCTAATAATTTTGTTTTTATTGTGTGAAATCCAATTTACGATCGTTTAATTCGGCGACACAGTTTGTGGTTGTCATCAATTGGTATCAAGAGCTTTAGTTAGAATTGGATTGAAAGGTATTGTTCATCGTACACTATTCACGTAGTGCTCATTAAAAAAAGAGAGAGAAAAAAAATATACTACAAAAAAAATTACAACATACAAAAGTGTGTTTTTGAAAGACTTGCTCAAAGATTTGAAAGCATGTTTGAGAGGCAAAATGAAGCAATAAGGAATGTTAAAGAGGCGTTGACAAATAATGCAAGAAGGCGGTCACATGATTTTGGGGGCAACCTTGCCCAATCGACCTGTATGCAGGAGCAATCCACAAGAAACTCAAGAGATTCAAAAACAAGTAGAAGGATTGTTACAGAAATGATGGGTGAAGGAAAGCCTAAGCCCTTGTGCTATACCAGTCATCTTGGTACCCAAGAAAGATGGAAATTGGAGGATGTGTACTAAT